AGGATGTTTTTGTGCTGGTCAAGGGCAGTCAAGTCTGGGGTGAACCAGGTGCTATATCTGTTCTTAGTTCTGAATTTTTTGAATGGGGCATGCTTATTTAAGATGGAGAGGAAAGCACTTTTGAAGAACATCCAGGCATCCTCTACTGACGGAATGAGGTCAATATCCATCTAGGATACCTGGGCCAGGTCAATTAGAAAGGCCTGCTCGCTGAAGTGTTTTAGGGAGCGTTTGACAGTGATGAGGGGTGGTCGTTTGACTGCGGACCCATTACGGACGCAGGCAATGAGGCAGTGATCGCTGAGATCCTGGTTGAAGACAGCGGAGGTGTATTTAGAGGGTAAATTAGTCAGGATGATATCTATGAGGGTACCCATGTTTACGGATTTAGGGTTGTACCTGGTAGGTTCCTTGATAGTTTGTGTGAGATTGAAGGCATCTAGCTTAGATTGTAGGATGGCCGGGGTGTTAAGCATATCCCAGTTTAGGTCACCAAGCAGTACGAACTCTGAGGATAGATGGGGGCAAGCAATTCACATATGGTGTCCAGGGCACAACTGGGGGCTGAGGGGGGTCTGTAGCAAGCGGAAAAAGTGAGAGACTTATTTCTGGAAAGGTGGATTTTTAGAAGTAGAAGCTCAAACTGTTTGGGCACAGACCTGGATAGTATGATAGAGCTCTGCAGGCTATCTCTACAGTAGATTGCAACTCCGCCCCCTTTTGGCAGTTCTATCTAGACGGAAAATGTTGTAGTTCGGAATGGACATTTCTGAATCTTTGGTGGTCTTCCCAAGCCAGGATTCAGACACTGCTAGAACATCAGGGTTGGCAGAGTGTGCTAACGCAGTGAATAACTCAAACTTGGGGAGGTGGCTTCTGATGTTAACATGAAAGAAACCAAGGCTTTTACGGTTACAGAAGTCAACAAATGATAGCGCCTGGGGGGTAGGAGTGATACTGGGGGCTACAGGGCCTGGGTTAACCTCTACATCACCAGAGGAACAGAGGAGGAATAGAATAAGGATACGGCTAAAGGCTTTAAGAACTGGTCTTCTAGTGCGTTGGGTACAGAGAATAAAAGGGGCAGATTTCCGGGCGTTGTAGAATAGATTCAGGGCATTATGTACAGACAAGGATATGGAAGGATATGATTACAGTGGAGGTACACCTAAGCATTGGGTAACGATGAAAGAGAGACCATCACTGGAGGTACCGATTGAGCCGGTCTCCGCATATATATGAAGGGGTGGGACAAAGGAGCTCTCTGAGGCTGGTTGAGCTGAACTTGGGGCTCTACATTGAAATTGTATAATAAGAACTAACCTAAACAGCAATAGGCAAGGCATATTGACATGGGAGAGAGGCATAACGCAATCACAGGTGTTATTCGAGAGGGCTAAGACAACAACTGGTAATGGCGATGAAAGTTTGGGCTGAGGCTAAACAGATGAACAGGATGGGGTACCGTGTAAAGGAACAGTCCAGCAGGCATCAGCTGTGTAGCTGAGTGATCATAAGGTCCAGTGAACAGCAATAGGTAAGTCCGGGAGCAGTTCGTAGGCTGCTACAGCACAGGCGAGCTGGAGGCACGGCTGTTGATTGCGCGTGCTAGCGGGCCCGGGGCTAGCAGATGGATCTTCATGGTCGTCGCAACAGGAAGCCTGTTGAAACCACATCAGACGATTACGTCGGCAGACCAGTCGTGATGGATCGGCGGGGTTCCTTGTCGACACTAGGAGGTCCCGTCCGGTTGACAGAGAGGTAGATAGCCAGGAGATGGGCCTGGCTCGAGGCTAGCTCAAGGCTAACTGGTATGTCGGGAAGTGGTGATTAGCCAACAACAGCCATTCGGATGCAGCTAGCTAGTTGCGATGGTCTGGTGTTAAGGTCCAGTGATTCAGTGATTCCGGCAGAAAATCCGAAATGCTCTGGGTCGATAGCACGCTGTGCAGACTGGCCGATAATTGTCCAGGCTAGAGCTGGTTGGTAGGTAGTGCAGGCCACGGACAGTGGTGAAGACCGCTAATGGTGGCTAATAGCAAGTAGCTAGTTAGCTGGCTAGCTGGCTAGTTTCAGCCGTGGGTTCTTGATAAAAATAAAGAAATAATAGAATCCGTTCCACATTGGGTGAGGCGGGTTGCAGGAAAGTATATTTAGTTAAAGGATGGAAAGTGAGATAGTGAAATATATACGAATAAAAAGAAAAAAAAAAAAAATGGCTATTTACACGAGGACACAACACAAAACACGACCGCACTGCTACGCCATCTTGGTTAGGCTAGCTATTACAGCTAATAACCGATGTTAGTTAGTTAGGCTAGCTATTACAACTAATAACCGATGTTAGTTAGTTAGGCTAGCTATTACAACTAATAACCGATGTTAGTTAGTTAGGCTAGCTATTACAACTAATAACCGATGTTAGTAATGCTAGCTATTACAACTAATAGCCTATGTTAGTTAGTTAGGCTAGCTATTACAACTAATAACCGATGTTAGTAAGGCTAGCTATTACAACTAATAGCCTATGTTAGTTAGTTAGGCTAGCTATTAAAATAATATCCTATGTTAGTTAGTTAATTAGTTAGGCTAGCTATTACAACTAATAGCCTATGTTAGTTAGTTAGGCTAGCTATTACAACTAATAGCCTATGTTAGTTAGTTAGGATAGCTATTACAACTAATTGCCTATTTTAGTTAGTTAGTTAGGCTAGCTATTACAACTAATAACCTATGTTAGTTAGTTAGTTAGGCTACATTAAAATGCTGAAACCTGACCGTAGCTGCTCATCTAGAATGATTCAAAGGTTTACAAAAATACCTTTGTTTGTAGATGCATTGGCTTGTATTAAATGACATCATCTCTGTGTGTGTGTCATGTGTGATGCATGCTCCTAAATAAATACAGCTGGCCGTGCGCCCATGCACACAATCATATTACCAGTTTGCCATTTTGAATGCAACTCCCTATTTATAATTGGCCAGTATGAAATGTAGGCTATTATGTAAATCCTGTGCCAATTAAAGACTGTATCTAGGAATATTTTATAGCCTGCCTATGTGCCGATCTTTAACTCTTAATTCTACTAGATCACATCATGTGGTCCCTCTCTTCACTCTTTTCTCCTCTTTGTCCCCTTTCTTTCTCTTCAATCACTCTCTCTGCTCCCTCGATCCCTCTTTTCCATCTCTATCCTCTCTGCTTCCCTTCCCTATTTCCTCTCCCGCTCTCTCATCCATCTCCTCTGCTCCCTCCCTCCCTCCCTCTCCCCCTCTCTCTCTCTCTCTCTCTCATCTGTCTCTCTCCACGGCCCCCTCTTTCCCTCTCCCTCTCTAACCATGTGATTTACGTGTTTGACAATGCTCTCTCATGTCCCTCTGTTTCGGTTGCTAGGGAGGGGAGACAGTCCTAGGCAACGTTGTACGCAAACCTCCAGCCGAGACGCGAGAAACAGGATAACGTACACTAGTTTGAACCATCAAGAGGCGACGGTGAAGAGTGGACCGAGCGACCGCGCGCAACCGATGGTTTTCATAGTAGCCACATTGAAAATTCTCCATTTTGTATACAGGCGACGGTCTAGTGACTTTGGGCAGCAAGATGACGACATTAACGATGCCCGGAATGCGATAAGTGCGCAACTGTCATCACCAAAGTGGACTTCCCTTTTGCTCTTTCACTTTGCCGCTGGCCAGGTCAACACATCACATCACCACACAGCTGCGTAGCCGCCTGCGCGTCGAGCTGGCCTCCGACTCGCTCTCTCGACGGACTGACCAGACAGTCAAACCACCGCGAAGACTCCAAGAGAGGATCCACTGGTTTTTTGGGGGGTGATTGTTGTTCTGCGGAACAGTGGAACAGGTGACACTGACATCTGCTCCATCTGTCGAGCTGAATTCAAGCTCATATGGAAACTAATATGAAATGTCTAGAGCCCTGAGGTAGTCGTCTGTTAACACAGGGCAGAGAACATATCTGCTGAAAACTTCCATGGAGTAAAGTAGCCGACAGTAAGACGCGGACAGCATCCAACTGAATATATGATACCCAAATGGCAAGTCTGCGTCGGTTGGAAGTTTGTGGAGCCATTTTATCTGTTCTGGGAAGACATTTATACTCCTATTCACATTGGTCGACTGCTCGGCTGACTCCAAACAGACACGAAGGGACTATGTTTTATCATAAAAATTCAGCTTTATATTGTTGAGTTAAATTATTATTATTATTATTATTATTATTATTGTTATTATTATTATTATTATTATTATTATTATTATTATTATTATTATTATTATTATTATTATTATCACCACTACTCAGCTGCTTTTGGTTGTTGATAATAATAAGCTTCCAATTGGCTTATTCATCCCCCCTCCTCTCCCCTTGAACTATTCCCCAGGTCGTTGCTGTAAATGAGAATGTGTTCTCAGTCAACTTACCTGGTAAAATAAGTGTAAAAATTAAAAAATTAAAATGACAAATCCGTCAATATTATTGTAATGTATAGATGTCAGTTGACACCTCATCTAATGTGGGGCGGTCAGACAGGGCCACTCCTAGTACCATGTGTGGGTCTGTGGCTGCTGAGCTAGCAGAGAGAAATCACTGGCCTATTAGGGTACACAATGCCCCCTGTTGCTGCGGGTCCTGCCACTGGCTCCTTTCTCCACCACTTCAGAGAAGTATCCTCCGACCGGGCTGACCAGCACCAGCCTCAGTTCAGAGTAGTATCCTCCGACCGGGCTGACCAGCACCAGAACCAGCGACAGCCTCAAACCCAGCCTCAGCCTCAGCCCCAGCCCCAGCCTCAGCCTCAGCCTCAGCCTCAGCCCCAGCCTCAGCCTCAGCCCCAGCCAGACGAGCCCCAGCCTCAGCCCCAACCCCAGTCTCAGACAAGGCTTCAGCCTCATCGCCTGATTCCATCCTGACTCAGGCAGTATCCAACGGCAGGCTGCCGGGCCACGGGCGTAGCAACGGGCGTAGCAACGGACACGGCATGGGCAACTCCTCCAGAAAGGAGGAGGACGAGGAAGAGGAGGAGAAGGATGGGGAGAAGGAGAAAGTAATGGCGGAGGAGAAGAGGAGGAGGAGGAAGAAGAAGAAAGAGGAGGAGATGGAGGACGATGAGCTGCCCTTAGGGGTGGAGGAGATGCTGGCGAGCGGAGATCCCGTCTTGGACCTGAGCTATAAGAAGTTCCGGAGGTTACCCGGTGTGGTCTGTGGGCTACGCCACCTGGAGAAGCTGTACGTGTGTGGGAACAGCCTACGGACCCTCCCGGAGAACATCGTCCAACTGAAGGGCCTCCGCATCCTGGCTCTGGACTTCAACAAGATGGAGGACGTCCCGTTGGCTATCTGTCAGCTCCGCAACCTGACGCGTCTCTACCTGGGCTCCAACCGCCTGATATCCCTCCCTCCGGAGCTACGCAACCTTCAGAGCCTCCGCTGCCTCTGGATGGAGAGCAACTACTTCACGTGCTTCCCCCGCCAGCTCTACGACTTACCCCACCTCAGGTCCCTCCAGATGGGGGACAATAGGCTACGGACCCTGCCTCCGGACCTGTGGCGCATGGAGGCCCTGCGGGGACTGTGGCTCTACGGAAACCGCTTCACCGAGTTCCCCCGGGTCTTACTCCGCATGGTGGATCTGGAGATCTTAGACCTGGACAAGAACAAGATCGAGGTGTTCCCTAACCTGAGCCGGCTCCCCGCCCTCCGCCTCTTCTCCTACGACCACAACCCCGTGGAGGGGCCTCCCGGCGTGGGAGAGGAGGTGTTGCTGGTTGGGGAGGGGGCCCAGGAAGAGCTCCAGGATCGGGCGGACAGGAAGGCTAAGAAGGAGCAGGAGGCGAGGGACGCGGAGGAGGCGGTGCTGGCCGGAGACGGGCCTGTGATCCAGGGCATTCTAAAGACGGCCAAACAGAACAGTGCGTCGCACGCCGGGCACAAGTACAATGAGGTGGTAACCGTGGCGATGCCCCTAACCGAGGAGGAGAGGAGGAAGAAGGAGATGGAGGCGGAGTTAGAGAGGGCGTTGAACGATTACGGGGCGGGGCTTGAGTATGACCTAGAGGGGATAGAATATGAGAAGGAGGAGCTTATATGCGAGGGGGAAGGGTTTGAGGGGTATGATGGTGGGGATTTGGAGTACGAACGAGGAGATATGGACTATGAGTATGAGGAGGGGGAGGAGCTAGAGGAACCAGGAAGACAAGGGGGCCGGCATTGATGACTGACTGATTGACTCCTCCTCCTGCAAAGGCTCAGACTCCTCCCCTCCTAAATCTAGACTTGTTTGACATTGCGGCAGACATTGCAGGCGACTGACTGATCTACAAGTCACCTTGCATCATAAATAACTACTTAGAATTATTTGTAGATCAGTCAGTCACAATTGACCTTCAATGCATCACGGATTTGATGCTCTCGGACACAGCCTCTCACTCCTCCCTTCTTAAGACGTTGACCCTTCCTCTTCCTCTTCCGAAGACTCTGAATACTTGACAGCTTCCTGATTTGCACTAGGTGGGGAATTTGAGAACTAAGTGGACAAGATATGGGCAAAATGCCCAGGAATTAGCTATCAAGTGAATTAAAATATTTTTCTTCTGCCTTCCTTGGCTAGGCTAGACATTTTTATGAGAACGCTCCAGCTGTCATGACAACGCCCAACCAGAAGGTTGTTTAAACTTTAGTAAATCCTGTGTGAAATGAATGAATGAGTGAATGAATGAATGAATGACTAGCCTCCTGAACCTGTTACTTTGTCTTTCTCTCTGTAGTTAGCAGTAGGACAGGGCTGAGACACTAAATGACTCATTAGATGTTTTTCTAACTGACCTGAAGATAGATTCATGCACTGGCACATTGCGGAGATGATGGATGGATGGCAGGCGGCGGCGTCTTTGCCAACTCGGCAAATTGGCAAGTCAGAGCAGGACTCAGGTGATGCTGTGTGTGTGTGTGTCAATGTGTGTGGTGTGTGTGTGCTTGGAGTGTGTGTGTGTGTGTGTGTATTTGAGTGTTTGTGTGTGAATGCGGACACGCAAGTGTGTGTATATGTGTGCGTGTGTGAACGTGTACACGTTTGAGTGTGTGTGTGCTTGGAGTGTGTGTGTGTGTGTGTGAACGCGTACACGTTTGAGTGTGTGTTTTGAAGTGGGGGTATACATGTACCTATTACCTTGTAATGTGATACAGTTTGTTTTGTCAATTCCATTATGTGTGCAAAGGAAATCTAATCTTGCCTCATTAAATAATGATTGAGTTTATCAGGTTGGAGTGAATCATTCATACACAGGGAGACCAGGGCCGTATCCACTAAGCTTCTCAGGAATCTGTTAAAACTCCCAGCTCAGACGGGGTTTTAGGATGATGTTCAGACAATATCTGAGCCAAGAGGTAAATCTACTGTGCATCAAATGTTGCAATGATAAAACGTTTGATATAATATTCCCCTGACACGATCACCTCTCTTATATTATTGCCTAATATGTCGAGGACCGAGTTTTGGGAAACACTGATGTAGGTCATTAAAATAATCTAAAGAAAAATGTGTTTATTTATTAGCCTAGTGGTTATTAGTATTTAGGCATGTCATGTGAAATAGGCCTCATTGTCAAAAGCGCAAAGAGATACTGTTGCTATTAGGTCTAGAATATTTATGGATTGATCATATCAAAACAGAAATATGAAAACATTATTTTATTTCCAAAGCAATTTCATGTGGCACAGGAACCCCTGACTTGCTGCATTTTTCTATTATCAAGACAGCTGCTGGTAACTGGGCCCGCATTCACACTGTCTGAGAGTAGGAGTCCTGATCTAGGATCAGTTTAGCCTTTTAGATCATAATTAATACGATAAAATGGACGGGGGGGGACCTGATCCTAGATCAGCATGCCTTTTGAAAACTGCACAAAGAGATCTAGGGTGTCACGTGAAGGGTAACATCAATAATTAAGCCGTTCAAAAATTGCACTAGTTAGAAGCAAATATTAAGCTTAATTGGTGTAATGTACAAGACAGTAAAAATGTATTGAAGACCACTAACTTTTCCCTCATTGTCTTTGTAAATGTGTCCATTACTTGTTGATGTTTCTCATCCATTTTGTCTTGTTTGCGGACAGTGGCTGTGTTCTTTGTAAGTACACAATCCAACAGCATCATTTGTACAGTATTCATTACCCAATCCTTAACAAGATCTTCACCTCCCTCCTTCCCTCTGCCAGTGGCGGGGAGTGTTATCAGTACTCTCCTGAGCATGTTTGTGCCAAGAGGGAGAGAGAGAGTTGGAGAGAGAGAGAGATAGATGTGAGGGGGATAGAGGGAAGAGAGAAAGAGTGAGAGAGAGAGGGGTGGGGGATAGAGGGAAGAGAGAAAGAGAGAGAGAGAGAGAGAGAGAGAGAGAGAGAGAAGTGGAGAGAGGGGGAGAGAAAGAGAGAGAGGAGAAAGAGAGAGAGCGGGAGAGGAGGGGGGTGGGGAGAGCGAGAGAAAGGGAGAGCGAGGAGGAGAGGAGAGAGGGGTGAATAGTTGCCTGGGGTACTTCTCCATAAAAGGCATGTGGAGGAGAGACGTTTTAAACACGAGATGGAATGTCACCAAGAAAACAAGGGAGAGAAGAGAGAGAGAGACCACTATGCAGGTACAGTTAGGATGCGTCACAAATGGCATCCTGTCATGCCTTATGGGCGCTGGTCTAAAGTAGTGCACTATCTAGGGAATAGGATGCCATTTGGGAAGCAGTTAGAGAAAACACAACTCTACACTCAGAGGAGAGGGTCATAGGTCAGCTGGCATCAGAGAGGAGAGGGTCATAGGTCAGCTGGCATCAGAGAGGAGAGGGTCATAGGTCAGCTGATATCAGAGAGGAGAGAGGAGAGGGTCATAGGTCAGCTGGCATCAGAGATGAGAGGGTCATAGGTCAGCTGGCATCAGAGAGGAGGGTCATAGGTCAGCTGGCATCAGAGATGAGAGGGTCATAGGTCAGCTGGCATCAGAGAGGAGAGGGTCATAGGTCAGCTGGCATCAGAGATGAGAGGGTCATAGGTCAGCTGGCATCAGAGAGGAGAGGGTCATAGGTCAGCTGGCATCAGAGATGAGAGGGTCATAGGTCAGCTGGCATCAGAGAGGAGAGGGTCATAGGTCAGCTGATATCAGAGAGGAGAGAGGAGAGGGTCATAGGTCAGCTGGCATCAGAGAGGAGAGGGTTATAGGTCAGCTGGCATCAGAGAGGAGAGAGGAGAGGGTCATTGGCCATCTGGCATCAGAGATGAGAGGGTCATAGGCCAGCTGACATCAAAGAGGAGAGGGTCATAGGTCAGCTGGCATCAGAGAGGAGAGAGGGTCATAGGTCAGCTGGCATCAGAGATGAGAGGGTCATAGGTCAGCTGGCATCAGAGAGGAGAGGGTCATAGGTCAGCTGATATCAGAGAGGAGAGAGGAGAGGGTCATAGGTCAGCTGGCATCAGAGAGGAGAGGGTTATAGGTCAGCTGGCATCAGAGAGGAGAGGGTCATAGGTCAGCTGGCATCAGAGAGGAGAGGGTCATAGGTCAGCTGGCATCAGAGAGGAGAGGGTCATAGGTCAGCTGGCATCAGCGATGAGAGGGTCATAGGTCAGCTGGCATCAGAGAGGAGAGGGTCATAGGTCAGATGGCATCAGAGAGGAGAGGGTCATTGGCCAGCTGGCATCAGAGATGAGAGGGTCATAGGCCAGCTGACATCAAAGAGGAGAGGGTCATAGGTCAGCTGGCATCAGAGAGGCGAGGGTCATAGGTCAGCTGGCATCAGAGAGGAGAGGGTCATAGGTCAGCTGGCATCAGAGAGGAGAGGGGTCATAGGTCAGCTGGCATCAGAGAGGAGAGGTTCATAAGTCAGCTGCCATCAGAGAGGAGAGAGGCGAGGGTCATTGGCCAGCTGGCATCAGAGATGAGAGGGTCATAGGCCAGCTGACATCAAAGAGGAGAGGGTCATAGGTCAGCTGGCATCAGAGAGGAGAGAGGAGAGGGTCATATGTCAGCTGGCATCAGAGAGAGTAGAGGGTCATATGACAGCTGGCATCAGAGAGGAGAGAGGGTCATTGGTCAGCTGGCATCAGAGAGGAGAGGGTCATAAGTCAGCTGGCATCAGAGAGGAGAGAGGGTCATAGGTCAGCTGGCATCAGAGAGGAGAGAGGGTCATAGGTCAGCTGGCATCAGAGAGGAGAGAGGGTCATTGGTCAGCTGGCATCAGAGAGGAGAGGGTCATAGGTCAGCTGACATCAGAGACGAGAGGGTCATAGGTCAGCTGGCATCAGAGAGGAGAGGGTCATAGGTCAGCTGGCATCAGAGAGGAGAGGGTCATAGGTAAGCTGGCACCAGAGAGGAATGGGTCATAGGTCAGCTGGCATCAGAGAGGAGAGGGTCATAGGTCAGCTGGCATCAGAGAGAGAGGGTCATAGGTCAGCTGGCATCAGAGGAGAGAGGAGAGGGCCATAGGTCAGCTGGCATCAGAGAGAGAAGGTCATAGGTCAGCTGGCATCAAATGACATTATGAAGGGCAGCTCAGAACAGCTGAAGATGGATTTTAAAGAACTGATTGGGTCTCTACTTGACACCAACAAACTGGCCCTCTGCCCTCCCTAAATCGTGGCATTGAACGGTCCAGCAGACTTTTAGCCCTCCATAACTGGCTACGAGACTATTGCAGCTCTGTGGGTGTAACATTTATTGACAATTTTGATACCTTCTGTCAACAAAGCTCGTATTATAAGGAGGATGGGATCCACCCAAATCATTTGGGTTCCTGGATCCTTTCACAGCATTATAAGGCTGTGTTGAGACAATGACTTATCAATGACCTAAGTCCAGCTATTTTAATCCCTACCATTGTGTCTCTGAGTTGTCATAATGATTCAGCAAATGTACATTATCCTAGGGGCGTTGGAAGACACAATGTAAATAACCTAATTTATGTCCCTCTTACTGCCCGGAATGCCTCTGCTGATCCTACAGCTATTGTATGCAGTACTCATATGCCTATGAACCAGAGTAATACTGTTAGCACTGAGGTGGTGTGCCCTAGTAGGAAGTCCACTGTGTGCAGCTCACCCTGCAGTAACATAAATAACATGAGTATGTCTACCTCTGCTAAGCATCTCAGTAAAGCAAGAAAAATGATCAAGCATCCCAGAAAAGTGTTAAAAATAGCCCATGTTAACATAAGTAGCTTAAGAAGGAAGGTTCATGAAATCAATAATTTGCTAGTAACAGATGACATTCATATTCTGACTATCTCTGAAACTTACCTAGATAATACCTTTGATGATACAGTGGTAGCAATACAAGGTTATAACATTTACAGAAAATACAGAAATGCCAAAGGTGGAGGTGTTGGGTCTATATTCCGAACCACATTCCTGTAAAGCTTAGAGAGGATCTCATATTAAATACTGTTGAAGTAATATGGCTACAGGTTCATCTGCCTCACCTAAAGCCCATTCTGGTGGGAAGCTGCTATAGACCACCAAGTGCTAACAGTCAGTATCTGGATAATATGTGTGAAATGCTTGATAATATATGTTATATCAATAGAGAGGTATACTTTCTTGGTGATTTAAATATTGACTGGCTTTCATCAGGCTGCCCACTCAAGAGAAAGCTTAAAACTGTAACCAGTGCCTGCAACCTGGTTCAGGTTATCAGTCAACCTACCAGGGTAGTTAGAAACAGTACAGGAATTAAATCATCAACATGTATTGATCATATCTTAACTAATGCTGCAGAGATTTGTTTGAAAACAGTATCCAAATCCATTGGATGTAGTGATCACAATATAGTAGCCATATCTAGGAAAACCAAAGTTCCAAAGGCTGGGCCTAATATAGTGTATAAGAGGTCATACAATAAGTTTTGTAGTGATTCCTATGTTGTTGATGTGAATAATATTTGTTGGTCTGTGGTGTGTAATGACGAGCAACCAGACGCTGCACTTTTATGAAATTGCTTATCCCAGTTACTAATAAGCATGCACCCATTAAGAAAATGACTGAAAAAACAGTTAAATCCCCATGGATTGATGAGGAATTGATAAATTGTATGGTTGACAGGGATGAGGCAAAAGAGATGGCAAATAGGTCTGGCTGTACAACTGATTGGAAAACACATTGCAAATTGAGAAATCATGTGACTAAACTGAATAAAAAGAAGAAGAAACTACACTATGAAACAAAGATAAATGAAATAAAGAATGATAGTAAAAAGCTTTGGAGCACCTTAAATGAATATTTGGGCAAAAAGGCAAACTCAGCTCCATCATTCATTGAATCAGATGGTTAATTCATCACAAAACACACTGATATTGCCAACTACTTTAATGATTTTTTCATTGGCAAGATTAGCAAACTTAGGCATGACATGCCAGCAACAACCGGGGGGGGGGGGGGGAGCGGGAAAAAGTCTTATTGGATAACATGACAAGCCACCGGGGTTGACAATGGATGGTTGGGGAATGGGACGATTTGGCCTCTATTTGCCTATCTTCAGTTAGAAGGGGTCCCGGCCGGAGGGCCACAAATGAGACACAATGACTGATGATTGGCTGAAAGAAATGGATGATAAAAATATTGTGGGGGCTGTTTTGTTAGACTTCAGCGCTGCTTTGACATTATCGATCATAGTCTGTTGCTGGAAAAACGTATGTGTTATGGCTTTACACCCCTGCTATATTGTGGATAAAGAGTTACAGTGGGGAAAAAAAGTATTTAGTCAGCCACCAATTGTGCAAGTTCTCCCACTTAAAAGATGAGAGAGGCCTGTCATTTTCATCATAGGTACACGTCGACTATGACAGACAAATTAAAAAAAAAAATCTCCAGAAAATCACATTGTAGGATTTGTAATGAATTTATTTGCAAATTATGGTGGAAAATAAGTATTTGGTCACCTACAAACAAGCAAGATTTCTGGCTCTCACAGACCTGTAACTTCTTCTTTAAGAGGCTCCTCTGTCCTCCACTCGTTACCTGTATTAATGGCACCTGTTTGAACTTGTTATCAGTATAAAAGACACCTGTCCACAACCTCAAACAGTCACACTCCAAACTCCACTATGGCCAAGACCAAAGAGCTGTCAAAGGACACCAGAAACAAAATTGTAGACCTGCACCAGGCTGGGAAGACTGAATCTGCAATAGGTAAGCAGCTTGGTTTGAAGAAATCAACTGTGGGAGCAATTATTAGGAAATGGAAGACATACAAGACCACTGATAATCTCCCTCGATCTGGGGCTCCACGCAAGATCTCACCCCGTGGGGTCAAAATGATCACAAGAACAGTGAGCAAAAATCCCAGAACCACACGGGGGGACCTAGTGAATGACCTGCAGAGAGCTGGGACCAAAGTAACAAAGCCTACCATCAGTAACACACTACGCCGCCAGGGACTCAAATCCTGCAGTGCCAGACGTGTCCCCCTGCTTAAGCCAGTACATGTCCAGGCCCGTCTGAAGTTTGCTAGAGTGCATTTGGATGATCCAGAAGAGGATTGGGAGACTGTCATATGGTCAGATGAAACCAAAATAGAACTTTTTGGTAAAAACTCAACTCGTCGTGTTTGGAGGACAAAGAATGCTGAGTTGCATCCAAAGAACACCATACCTACTGTGAAGCATGGGGGTGGAAACATCATTCTTTGGGGCTGTTTTTCTGCAAAGGGACCAGGACGACTGATCCGTGTAAAGGAAAGAATGAATGGGGCCATGTATCGTGTGATTTTGAGTGAAAACCTCCTTCCATCAGCAAGGGCATTGAAGATGAAACGTGGCTGGGTCTTTCAGCATGACAATGATCCCAAACACACCGCCCGGGCAATGAAGGAGTGGCTTTGTAAGAAGCATTTCAAGGTCCTGGAGTTGCCTAGCCAGTCTCCAGATCTCAACCCCATAGAAAATCTTTGGAGGGAGTTGAAAGTCTGTGTTGCCCAGCGACAGCCCCAAAACATCACTGCTCTAGAGGAGATCTGCATGGAGGAATGGGCAAAGATACCAGCAACAGTGTGTGAAAACCTTGTGAAGACTTACAGAAAACGTTTGACCTGTGTCATTGCCAACAAAGGGTATATAACAAAGTATTGAGAAACTTTAGTTATACTTATTTTCCACCATAATTTGCAAATAAATTCATTAAAAATCCTACAATGTGATTTTCTGGATTGTCTTTTCTCATTTTGTCTGTCATAGTTGACGTGTACCTATGATGAAAATTACAGGCCTCTCTCATCTTTTTAAGTGGGAGAACTTGCACAATTGGTGGCTGACTAAATACTTTTTTTCCCTACTGTACCTGTCTAACAAAACACAGAGGGTGTTCTTTAATGGAAGCCTCTCTAACAAAATCCAGGTAGAATCAGGAATTCCCCAGGGCAGCTGTCTAGGCCACTTACTTGTTTCAATCTTTACTAATGACATGCCAATGGCTTTGAGTAAAGCCAGTGTGTCTATGTATGCGGATGACTCAACACTATACACGTCAGCTACCACAGCGACTGAAATGACTGCAACACTTAACAAAGAGCTGCAGTTAGTTTCAGAATGGGTGGCAAGGAATAAATTAGTCCTAAATATAAAAAAAACTAAAAGCATCGTATTTGGGACAAATCATTTACTAAACCCTAAACCTCAACTAAATCTTGTAATAAATAATGTGGAAATTCCAAATCAAATTAAATCAAATTTTATTGGCCACATGCGCCGAATACAACAGGTGCAGACATTACAGTGAAATGCTTACTTACAGCCCTTAACCAACAGTGCATTTATTTTTAACATGAAGTAAAAATAAAACAACAACAAAAAAGTGTTGAGAAAAAAGGAAGCTTGGCCCCAGTGATGTACTGGGCCGTACGCACTACCCTCTGTAGTGCCTTACGGTCGGAGGCCAAGCAGTTGCCATACCAGGCGGTGATGCAACCAGTCAGGATGCTCTCGATGGTGCAGCTGTAGAATTTTTTGAGGATCTGAGGACCCATGCCAAATCTTTTCAGTCTCCTGAGGGGGAATAGGCTTTGTCGTGCCCTCTTTACGACTGTCTTGGTGTGTTTGGACCATGATAGTTTGTTGGTGATGTGGACACCAAGGAACTTGAAGCTCTCAACCTGTTCCACTACAGCCCCGTCGATGAGAATGGGGGCGTGCTCAGTCCTCTTTTTTTTCCTGTAGTCCACAATCATCTCCTTTATCTTGGTCACGTTGAGGGAGAGGTTGTTATCCTGGCACCACATGGCCAGGTCTCTGACCTCCTCCCTATAGGCTGTCTCATCGTTGTCGGTGATCAGGCTTACCACTGTTGTGTCGTCTGCAAACTTAATGATGGTGTTGGAGTCGTGCCTGGCCATGCCGTCATGGGTGAACAGGGAGTACAGGAGGGGACTGAGCACGCACCCCTGAGGGGCCCCCGTGTTGAGGATCAGTGTGGCAGATGTGTTGTTACCTACCCTTACCACCTGGGGGCAGCCCGTCAGGAAGTCCAGGATCCAGTTGCAGAGGGAGGTGTTTAGTCCCAGGATCCTTAGCTTAGTGATGAGCTTTGAGGGCACTATGGTGTTGAATGCTGAGCTGTAGTCAATGAATAACATTCTCACGTAGGTGTTCCTCTTGTCCAGGTGGGAAAGGGCAGTGTGGAGTGCAATAGAGATTGCATCATCTGTGGATCTGTTGGGGCGGTATGCAAATTGGAGTGGGTCTAGGGTTTCTGGGATAATGGTGTTGATGTGAGCCATGACCAGCCTTTCAAAGCACTTCATGGCTACAGACGTCAGTGCTACGGGTCGGTAGTCATTTAGGCAGGTTATCTTAGAGTCCTTGGGCACGGGGACTATGGTGGTCTGTTTGAAACATGTTGGTATTACAAACTCAGTCAGGGACATGTTGAAAATGTCAGTGAAGACACTTGCCAGTTGGTCACCACATGCTCGGAGTACACGTCCTGGTAATCCGTCTGGCCCTGCGGCCTTGTGAATGTTGACCTGCTTAAAAGTCTTACTCACATCGGCTACGGAGAGCGTGATCACATAGTCATCCGGAACAGCTGATGCTCTTATGCATGCTTCAGTGTTGCTTGCCTCGAAGCGAGCATAGAAGTGGTTTAGCTCGTCTGGAAGTCTTGTGTCACTGGGCAGCTCGCGGCTGTGCTTCCCTTTGTAGTCTGTAATAGTTTTCAAGCCCTGCCACATCCGACGAGCGTCAGAGCCGGTGTAGTACGTTTCAATCTTAGTCCTGTATTGACTCTTTGCCTGTTTGATGGTTCGTTGGAGGGCATAGCGGGATTTCTTATAAGCGTCCGGGTTAGAGTCCCGCTCCTTGAAAGCGCCAGCTCTACCCTTTAGCTCAGTGCGGATGTTGCCTGTAATCCATGGCTTCTGGTTGGGGTATGTACGTACGGTCACTGTGGGGACGACATCATCGATGCACTTATTGATGAAGCCAGTGACTGATGTGGTGTACTCCTCAATGCTATCTGAAGAATCCCGGAACATTGAGCAAGTTGAGGAGACTAAATTGTCTCTCTGTCCTGTCTCTGTACTGTCTCTCTGTCCTGTCTCTCTGTCCTGTCTCTGTGTCCTGTCTCTGTCCTGTCTCTCTGTCCTGTCTCTCTGTTCTGTCTCTGTGTCCTGTCTCTCTGTCCGGTGTCTCTGTTCTGTGTCCTGTGTCTGTGTCCTGTCTCTCTGTCCTGTGTCTGTGTCCTGTCTCTCTGTCCTGTGTCTCTGTCCTGTGTCTGTGTCCTGTGTCTGTGTCCTGTCTCACTGTCCTGTGTCTCTGTCCTGTATCTGTGTCCTGTCTCTCTGTCCCTCTGTCCTGTGTCTGTGTCCTGTGTCTGTGTCCTGTCTCTGTGTCCTGTGTCTCTGTCCTGTGTCGCTGTCCTGTCTCTCTGTCCTGTCTCTGTGTCCTGTCTCTCTATCCTGTCTCTGTGTCCTCTCTCTGTCCTGTCTCTGTGTCCTGTGTCTCTGTCCTGTGTCTCTGTCCTGTCTGCGTCCTGTCTCTCTGTCCTGTCTATCTGTCCTGTGTCTCTGTCCTGTCTCTGTGTCCTGTGTCTCTGTCCTGTGTCTCTGTCCTGTGTCTCTGTCTCTCCTAGCCTCTGTTCATGATCCTTGTATCATCTCCATGAGGCTCATGTCTGCAGTGTGCTATCCTCTGTCCTGTCTCTTCTTTCCTGCGTCTCATTGAAAGAGTCAAATAGTCATCCATCTGTTGAAATATGTATGGAGAGAATCATGTGTCAATCAGTCACTGTTGTTTCTATAGAGATGTTACTGTGACTGGCTGCATATTGCAAAGCAACATTTCTGCCTATTAGGCTGAATATCCTAATATCCATCTACTATGTCCTTGTGAAGACCTCAATATTATCTGTAAAGATTACATCTCAGATTACGTCTCAGATTACGTCTCAGATGATGTCTCAGATTACGTCTCAGATTTGTAAAAATAATATCATAATAATAATATAAACCACTTAGCAGACACTGGTATCCTGAACAATGTACAGTACATTTAGCCATTTGAGTGAGATTATATTATCCTTGGCATCTTACTCAACTGAGCCACACAGGACCTTTTGAAAGACTACCTGCTGTTGGCTACCAACTGTTGTTGAAGTGTCACGGTCCTTTACAGACGGGACGGACCAAGGCGCAGCGTGATATGCGTACATGTTTATTTTTCCGAATAAACACAATGACAAAACAACAAACGACACGTGAAGTCCAAGGTACACAAAACAAACATACCTAACACGGAACAAGATCCCACAACCCACTAGTGCCAATAGGCTACCTAAGTATGGTCCCCAATCAGAGACAACGAGCGACAGCTGCCTCTGATTGGGAACCACACCGGCCAACATAGATCTAGACGATCTAGATCTAAACATAGAAAAAGCAACATAGAACATACCACACAGAAAATACACACCCTGACTCAACAAATACGAGTCCCCAGAGTCAGGGCGTGACAGTACCCCACCCCCAAAGGTGCGAATTTGACCGCACAACATAAACATAACAGAGTAGGGGCCGGGTGGGCATTCCGCCTTGGAGGCGGATCCGGCTCAGGGCGTGACGACCACTTACTCTCCGCCTCCCTGTTGCGCCCCTGGTCTGGTCTGGACCTCGGCGCGCTGCTTCCCCTCTCCTTCCTCCCACGAAGTACCAAGCCCTGTCTGGACCCTGGTGTGGGAGACCCCGAACTTGGAGAGGAGCTGACGTCTGGGTCTGGACTGGAGCCGCTGACCGGAGCTCGACCAGGCACCGGTGGAGCGGACTGCTCTGGCTCCGGAGTGGAGCAGCTGACCGGAGCTGGATCAGGCACCGGTGGAGCGGACTGCTCTGGCTCCGGAGTGGAGCCGCTGACCGGAGCTGGACTGGACCCCGGTGAAGCGGATTGCTCTGGCTCCGGAGTGGAGGAGCTGACCGGAGCTGAACTGGGCACCGGTGGAGTGGACTGCTCTGGCTCCGGAGTGGAGCAGCTGACCGGTGCCGGACCAGGCACCGGTGGAACATGCACGGGCCGTGCCGGACTGGACACATGCACCACTGGCTTGGTGCGGGGAGCAGGAACGGACCGGACCGGGCTGGCGACGCGCACAACTGGCTTGGTGCGGGGAGCAGGAACGGGCCGTCCCGGACTGGCGACATGCACCACTGGCCTGGTGCGGGGAGCAGGAACAGGCCGGGCCGGGCTGGCGACATGCACCACTGGCTTGGTGCGAGGGGCAGGAACAGGCCGGACCGGGCTGGCGACGCGCACCACTGGCTTGGTGCGAGGGGCAGGAACAGGCCGGGCTGGGCTGGCGACGTGCACCACTAGCTTGGTGCGAGGAGCAGGAACAGGCCGGACCGGGCTGGCGACGCACACCACAGGCTTGGTGCGAGGGGCAGGAAGAGGCCGGTCCGGGCTGGCGACGTGCACCACTAGCTTGGTGCGAGGGGCAGGAACAGGCCGGACCGGGCTGGCGACGCGCACCACTGGCTTGGTGCGAGGGGCAGGAACAGGCCGGGCTGGGCTGGCGACGTGCACCACTAGCTTGGTGCGAGGAGCAGGAACAGGCCGGACCGGGCTGGCGACGCACACCACAGGCTTGGTGCGAGGGGCAGGAACAGGCCGGACCGGGCTGGCGACGCGCACCACTGGCTTGGTGTTAGGAGCAGGAACAGGCCGGGCCGGGCTGGCGACGCGCACCACTAGCTTGGTGCGAGGGGCAGGAACAGGCCGGGCCGCGCTGGCGACGCGCACCACAGGCTTGGTGCGAGGGGCAGAAACAGGCCGGGCCGGGCTGGCGACGCGCACCACAGGCTTGGTGCGAGGGGTAGGAACAGGCCGGGCTGGCCTGGCGACGCGCACCACTGGCTTGGTGCGAGGGGCAGGAACAGGCCAGGCCGGGCCGGGCTGGCGACGCGCACCACTGGCTTGGTGCGAGGAGCAGGAACAGGCCGGGCCGGGCTGGCGACGCGTACCACTGGCTTGGGGCGAGGGGCAGGAACGGGTCGGGCCGTACTGGGAACACGCACCACTGGCATAGTGCGGGAAGCAGGAACGGGCCGGACCGGACTGGCGACATGCACCACTTGCTTGGTGCGAGGAGCGGGACTGGGTTCCCTTATTAACCCCCGCTCCTTCTGCTGCCTAACCAGCTCCTCTCGCCGTGCCTCTACACTTTCCTTCTCCCTTATAGCCTCCTGTAGCGCCTCCCTCTGACCGAATAACTCCTGCTCCCTCTGAACCAATAGCCCCCGTAACATGGTGGCCTCCTCTCCTAACCTGCAGATCCGCCCTGTCGCGGCCTCCTGCTGCCTCGTCGTCCACACCGTGTGCCCCCCTCCAAAATGTTGTTGGGGTTGCCTCTCGGGTCTCCGTCGTCGGCACTGTTGGCGCCATTTCTCCTCTCCTACCTGGGCATCCTCCTTCATCGCCTTCCGGTAACGGACGGCCTCCTCCTCTGTAATTCTCCCCCAACCGAGGAGGACATCTACTAATGTAACCTCCTGTTGAATTCCCGGCGTTTTCTCCTGAACACACTGCTTGGTCCTCGTTTGGTGGGATCTTCTGTCACGGTCCTTTACAGACGGGACGGACCAAGGCACAGAGTGATATGCGTACATGTTTATTTTTCCGAATAAACACAATGACAAAACAACAAACGACACGTGAAGTCCAAGGTACACAAAACAAACATACCTAACACGGAACAAGATCCCACAACCCACTAGTGCCAATAGGCTACCTAAGTATGGTCCCCAATCAGAGACAACGAGCTACAGCTGCCTCTGATTGGGAACCACACCGGCCAACATAGATCTACACGATCTAGATCTAAACATAGAAAATGCAACATAGAACATACTACACAGAAAATACACACCCTGACTCAACAAATACGAGTCCCCAGAGTCAGGGCGTGACATGAAGTTACGTTTTAGCCTCCGTAGTGTCCTAGTGTAGTGGGACTAAGCCTCCGTAGTGTCCTAGTGTAGTGGGACTAAGCCTCCGTAGTGTCCTAGTGTAGTGGGACTAAGCCTCCGTAGTGTCCTAGTGTAGTGGGACTAAGGCTCCGTAGTGTCCTAGTGTAGTGGGACTAAGCCTCCGTAGTGTCCTAGTGTAGTGGGACTAAGCCTCCGTAGTGTCCTAGTGTAGAGGGACTAAGCCTCCGTAGTGTCCTAGTGTAGAGGGACTAAGCCTCCGTAGTGTCCTAGTGTAGTGGGACTAAGCCTCCGTAGTGTCCTAGTGTAGTGGGACTAAGCCTCCGTAGTGTCCTAGTGTAGTGGGACTAAGCCTCCGTAGTGTCCTAGTGTAGAGGGACTAAGCCTCCGTAGTGTCCTAGTGTAGTGGGACTAAGCCTCCGTAGTGTCCTAGTGTAGAGGGACTAAGCTGTAGTGTCCTAGTGTAGTGGGACTAAGCCTCCGTAGTGTCCTAGTGTAGTGGGACTAAGCCTCCGTAGTGTCCTAGTGTAGAGGGACTAAGCCTCCGTAGTGTCCTAGTGTAGTGGGACTAAGCCTCCGTAGTGTCCTAGTGTAGAGGGACTAAGCTGTAGTGTCCTAGTGTAGTGGGACTAAGCCTCCGTAGTGTCCTAGTGTAGTGGGACTAAGCCTCCGTAGTGTCCTAGTGTAGTGGGACTAAGCCTCCGTAGTGTCCTAGTTGCTGTGTCTGTTGCTGTGTCTGTTACTGTGTCTTTTGCTGTGTCTGTTGCTGTGTCTGTTACTGTGTATGTTGCTGTGTCTATCTGTCTGTTGGTTAATGTGTCTGTTACTGTGTATGTTGCTGTGTCTATCTGTCTGTCTGTTAATGTGTCTGTTACTGTGTCTGTTACTGTGTCTGTCTGTTGCTGTGTCTGTTACTATGTCTGTTATGTCGGCGAGCGACTGCATGTTGGAAACAAGTGGAAAACAACCAGACACACTGTCTCTATCCAAAACCCTGTTCCCCTTGTAGTGCCCTAACCGTAGTATCCAAAACCCTGTTCCCCTTGTAGTGCCCTAACCGTAGTATCCAAAATGGCACCCTGTTCCCCTTGTAGTGCCCTAACCGTAGTATCCAAAACCCTGTTCCCCTTGTAGTGCCCTAACCGTAGTATCCAAAATGGCACCCTGTTCCCCTTGTAGTGCCCTAACCGTAGTATCCAAAATGGCTCCCTGTTCCCCTTGTAGTGCCCTAACCGTAGTATCCAAAATGGCTGCCTGTTATCTACAGTGCATTACTTTTCGTATGGGAAGGAGGGTGCCGTGTCCGATGCAGACACTGAAAAAGCTGCTGCCATCTGTAGTTTATGTTAGGATTCAAGTGGCACCCTATTCCCTATGAAGGGTAGGACCCAGGTCAGCAGCAGAACACCTCCTGTCATTGGACCACCACCATCAGACTGAAGTCAGATCGACACTGCGCGTCAGTGCAAAGAGTACATCCCTTCTCCCTTCTCCCTGTCCTGTTTCATTCCAACGATGGCGCAGTGCGTCCATTCCTTATATAGAACCCTACAAGCCCTGGTCAAAAGTAGTGTACTTCATAGGGCATACTGTGTCATTTGGGACAAGGGCTCTCTCTCCAGATTGGACCACACGGATCCACACTCGGCTAGGAACCATGTCATCCAAGTCATGTTTTAGAAGTGTTACGTTTTCTGTGTTTCCCAGACTTTTATTTTCTTTATTTTTGCCATTATTTAACCAAGTGAATCATTCAGAATACAGTATATAATCTTTCACAAATAACGAGAGGAAGCCCTAGTCCCGTACACAGATCATTTTTAGTCCTGTCCTCAAAAACCTATTGAGCATGCTTTTTAATCCAGGACTAGAGTTGAGATTAATCTGTGTCTTCCAGGGAAACAGGCCCCCATTGTGTTTTGACACAGTAAGCCTGTATTTATTTAAACTACTGTAGATTTTGAAAGGGGGAAAAAAAACGACTGCAATACTGTATCTAATTGTGGAGTCTTGGTTGGTGCTGTTGCCTGTAGGGAGCGACTGGGGGATGCTGCTACACCACTGTGACGCCGATGCGGCATGACCTCATAAAGGGTCAGCGTTCTGCATACTGCCTCTCCATTCCAGGCCTGGATTCAAACAGTATTCAAATCATTCAAATACTCTCCTGGGCGTTTGCTTGAGCCTGCCCGGATTGCCGGATGGGCAGAGTTGAGAATTTTAGGACTGTTCCATTCGATTGATCATCACGGCAGGCAGGCTCAGGCTCAGGCTCAGGCTCAGCACAGCTGATTGAAATATTTGGAATAGTGTTTGAACCCAGGGTTGATCGTGTGAACCATCCCACAGCTCTGACTGGGTGGCTAAACACTGTGACAAACACCAGACCAGGGCCAGTATTCACACAGCATCTCCCTGTTTCATATAATCCTATGAATGATGATCTAAAAAGGGAAAACTGATCCTGGATCAGTACTCCTACTGTGCTGCAGTCCAGTCACTCTGAATGAGTCCTAAATGGCACCCTATTCCCCATATAGTGCACTACTTTACATCAGAGCCCTATACGCCCTGGTCTAAAGTAGTGCACTATGTAGGGAATAGGGTGTGATTTGGCACACACTCCTCTGTCTGAATAGTTATCTAGCTCCCCCCCTCTTCACCCCCTGACCCCCCCTCTGACCCCCCTCTTCACTCCTGACACCCCCCTTCACTCCCTGACCCCCCCTCTTCACTCCCTGCCCCCCCCCCCCCCCCCCCCCCCCCCCTTCACTTCAACCTCCCACTTGGTTCAGTCCAAAGAACTGTATAAAAACAGATAACCCAGCTCCAATATGTGTGGATTTACAACAGAGGTAACAGTTATGTGTTTTAATCCAATTGATAAAAATCAACCGTTTTATTTGGATGGAAATAGCAGCGCCCATGTCATTATCAGCTGAAAACACCATCTCTGTTAGCCAGTTGGAAAGATATTAAGGGTATTTAATGGGCGATCTGATGTCTGACTTTGTACCTTGACAGTCAGTGCCTGAGGTTAAACCTGTGAAAGAGACGAAGAGAGGAAGTCAAAAGGAGGCACATTTCTGTCATAACAGAATTTCTAGAATATAGTGGTGTGTTATATACTCTACCTACCTGTCTGTCTCTACCTGTCTGTCCTATACCTGTCTGTCTCTCTACCTGTCTGTCTCTACCTGTCTGTCTCTATACCTGTCTGTCTCTCTACCTGTCTGTCTCTCCCTGTCTGTCTCTCTACCTGTCTGTCTCTACCTGTCTGTCTCTCCCTGTCTGTCTCTACCTGTCTGTCTCTACCTGTCTGTCTCTCCCTTCTGTCTCTATACCTGTCTGTCTCTACCTGTCTGTCTCTACCTGTCTGTCTCTCTCCCTGTCTGTCTCTACCTGTCTGTCTCTCTACCTGTCTGTCTCTACCTGTCTGTCTCTACCTGTCTGTCTCTACCTGTCTGTCTCTTCTACCTGTCTGTCTCTACCTGTCTGTCTCTCTACCTGTCTGTCCCTAACCTGTCGTCTCTACCTGTCTGGTCCTACCTGTCCTCTCTCCCTGTCTGTCTCTACCTGTCTGTGTCTCCCTGTCTGTGTCTCTCCCTGTCTGTCTCTACCTGTCTGTGTCTCCCTGTCTGTGTCTACCTGTCTGTGTCTCCCTGTCTGTGTCTCTCCCTGTCTGTCTCTACCTGTCTGTGTCTCCCTGTCTGTGTCTACCTGTCTGTGTCTACTGTCTGTGTCTCTCCCTGTCTGTGTCTACCTGTCTGTGTCTACCTGTCTGTGTCTCTACCTGTCTGTGTCTCCCTGTCTGTGTCTCCCTGTCTGTGTCTCCCTGTCTGTGTCTACCTGTCTGTGTCTCTACCTGTCTGTGTCTCTACCTGTCTGTGTCTCCCTGTCTGTGTCTCTCCCTGTCTGTGTCTCTACCTGTCTGTGTCTCCCTGTCTGTGTCTCTCCCTGTCTGTGTCTCTACCTGTCTGTGTCTCCCTGTCTGTCTCTACCTGTCTGTGTCTACCTGTCTGTGTCTCCCTGTCTGTGTCTACCTGTCTGTGTCTCCCTGTCTGTGTCTACCTGTCTGTGTCTCTACCTGTCTGTGTCTCCCTGTCTGTGTCTACCTGTCTGTGTCTCCCTGTCTGTGTCTACCTGTCTGTGTCTACCTGTCTGTGTCTCTCCCAGTGTAACCATTGGTCCTGTGCTTGTGGATGACTCCTCTCGTCCAGCCTGCTCTTAGGTTCTCTAGCGCTGAAACGTCACAGAACCTGGAATATATTGTAGCGACCTCAGTACAACACCTAGGGGCGGGTTCCCGGACACAGATTAGGTCCAGTCCTGGACTAGAAACTCAATGAAGAATCTCTATTGAGCATGCTTTATAGTCCAGGATTAGGCTTAATCTGTGTCCGGGAAACTGGCCTGTAAAGACCTTGTAAAGAGGTTCGGACCTCTAGGTGTAACGGTTAACTGACAGTCACAGGGACCAAGGTGCAAGTCCCGATAAGGACTACCTCCTGAATTCACCGCAATATGAACAACTGACGTTTATCTCATTTTACATTTACATTTGAGTCATTTAGCAGACCCTCTTATCCAGAGCGACTTACAGTTAGTGAGTTCATACATTATCATACTTTCTTCATCTCAAGTCCCGATCAGGACTACCTCCTGAATAATACACAATACAACGTCATGTAAATAAAAAGAGAAGCCTACTTACTTGGTCTGGTAGTGAGTGCGGAAGCGTGAGGGTTCGGACGGTGTGTGTGACAGGTTTTTCAGGTTTGGTGTGTTGAGGATGAATCCTGAACGCTCCTGGAAACCAAACTAATGGTAACACTTTACCCTGCCTGTATAATGCTTTAGAAAATGTTATAAGCATGTATGAGCCTTTATAATGTCTTATTAAGGCTTATATGATAAAGCTCTCTAACCTTCATCCCAATCAACATCTTCTCGGCAGGTGAGCTGATCTTCTGAGTCCCAGAGCCAGGTAACACAGAGGCCTAGAGGTAATACACAGGAAGTGACATCATACAGCATAACAGAGAGGCCTAGAGGTAATACACAGGAAGTGACATCATACAGCATAACAGAGAGGCTTAGAGGTAATACACAGGAAGTGACATCATACAGCATAACAGAGAGGCTTAGAGGTAATACACAGGAAGTGACATCATACAGCATAACAGAGAGGCTTAGAGGTAATACACAGGAAGTGACATCATACAGTATAACAGAGAGGTCTAGAGGTAATACACAGGAAGTGACATCATACAGTATAACAGAGAGGCTAGAGGTAATACACAGGAAGTGACATCATACAGCATAACAGAGAGGCTTAGAGGTAATACACAGGAAGTGACATCATACAGCATAACAGAGAGGCTTAGAGGTAATACACAGGAAGTGACATCATACAGTATAACAGAGAGGTCTAGAGGTAATACACAGGAAGTGACATCATACAGCATAACAGAGAGGCTTAGAGGTAATACACAGGAAGTGACATCATACAGCATAACAGAGGTCTAGAGGTAATACACAGGAAGTGACATCATACAGCATAACAGAGAGGCTTAGAGGTAATACACAGGAAGTGACATCATACAGTATAACAGAGAGGCCTAGAGGTAATACACAGGAAGTGACATCATACAGGTCAGAGGAGGCTGGTGAGGGGAGGACGGCTCATAATAAAGAATGGAATGGAGTAAATGGAATAACATCCAACACATGGAAAACCAGGAGCACGATGTGTTTGATCCCATTCCATTCCAGCCAGTAATATGAGCCCGTCCTCGCCCATTTAAAGCGCCACCAGCCACCACTGATATAGGTGCTGTGACATAACGATTGTTGCTATGTGGATCTTTGGTTATGTCCCAAATGGCACCCTATTCCCTATATGGGTCATTATACAGATGAGGTGCACATTTGGAGTTGGAAATGTGTATCCTATCTTTTTCAAACTTTCAGCACACAGGTCTCTCCAACATGTCAGGTAGACATGTACAGTTGAAGTCGAAGGTTTACATACTCTTAGGTTGGAGTCATTAAAATTAGTTTTTCAACCACTCCACAACTTTCTTGTTAACAAACTATAGTTTTGGCAAGTCGGTTAGGACATCTACTTTGTGCATGACACAAGTAATCTTTCCAACAATTGTTCACAGACAGATTATTTCACTTATAATTCAATGTATCACAATTCCAGTGGGACAGAAGTTTACATACACTAAGTTGACTGTGCCTTTCAACAGCTTGGAAAATTCCAGAAAATTATGTCATGGCTTTAGAAGCTTCTGATAGGCTAATTGACATAATTTGAGTCAATTGGAGGTGTACCTGTGGATGTATTTCAAGGCCTACCTTCAATGTGCCTCTTTGCTTGACATCATTGGAAAATCAAAAGAAATCAGCCAAGACCTCAGAAAAAGAATTGTAGACCTCCACAAGTCTGGTTCATCCTTGGGAGAAATTTCCAAACGCCTGAAGGTACCACGTTCATCTGTACAAACAATAGTACGCAAGTATAAACACCATAGGACCACGCAGCCGTCATACCGCTCAGGAAGGAGACACGTTCTGTCTCCTAGAGATTACGTACTTTGCAAATCAATCCCAGAACAACAGCAAAGGACCTTGTGAAAATTCTGGAGGAAAGAGGTACAAAAGTATCTATATACACGCCACTGCTCCAAAACCGCCATAAAAAAGCCAGACTACGGTTTGCAACTGCACATGGGGACAAAGATCGTACTTTTTAGGGAAATGTCCTCTGGTCTGATGAAACAAAAATAGCACTGTTTGGCCATAATGATCATCGTTATGTTTGGAGGTAAAAGGGGGTGGCTTGGAAGCCGAAGAACACCATCCCAACCGTGAAACAAGGAAAATTATGTGGATATATTGAAGCAACATCTCAAGACATCAGTCAGGAAGTTAAAGCTTGGTTGCAAATGGGTCTTCCAAATGGACAATGACCCCAAGCATACTTCCAAAGTTGTGGCAAAATGGCTTAAGGACAACAAAGTCAAGGTATTGGAGTGGCCATCACAAAGCCCTGACCTCAATCCTATAGAAAATATGTGGGCAGAACTGAAAAAGTGTGTGCGAGCAAGGAGGCATACAAACCTGACTCAGTTACACCAGCTCTGTCAGGAGGAATGGGCCAAAATTCACCCAACTTATTGTGGGACGCTTGTGGAAGGCTACACGAAACGTTTGACCCAAGTTAAACAATTTAAAGGCAATGCTACCAAATACTAATTGAGTGTATGTAAACTTCTGACCCACTGGGAATGTGATGAAATAAATAAAAGCTGAAATAAATCATTCTCTCTACTATTATTCTGACATTTCACATTCTTAAAATAAAGTGGTGATCCTAACTGACCTAAGACAGGGAATTTTTACTAGGATTAAATGTCAGGAATTGTGAAAAACTGAGTTTAAATGTAATTTGGCTAAGGTGTATGTAAACTTCCGACTTCAACTGTATATAATATATATACAGTATATATTTTTTAATATATTTTCCTTTATTATTTCCCCCTAACCCTCCCACCCCTCCCCTAATTGGAGTAAACTAATGGACAACAACTCTTAGGCGTCTACTTCCAGCTACATACTATATACATTTTACGGACAGAGTATAGTTTAAAATATTTATCTTTTGTTTGTTTTTAGTCCCATCCTTCAGCTCCACTCAACCCCTCCCATCTATCTCTGAACACCGTCCAGTTTTGATTTCTATTTGCCATATATTTTTCAACTGTGCTGTGATGTTTCACAAAAGTTCTGAACCTTTCTATTCTCATAGATTCTACATATTGTAAATTAAAGATAAACATTTTTGCTAAGAGTATTATTATATTATTAATCGATTGACTATGACTTTTTTAATCACCCAGCAGTGCTATTTGCAGAGTTAGCTCCAGGTAAATGTTGCAATTCTTCAGCCATTCCTGAACTTGCGACCAAAAACAAGCTACATATGGACAGTACCAAAACAAATGATCTAATGATTCTGTCTCTTCGCAGCAAAATATGCAGAGCTGGGATGGTTGTATCCCCAATATATATAACATTCTATTGGTTGCAAGAATTTTGTATCATAATTTAAATTGAAAAACTCTAAGTTTTGAATCTAGCTTTGATTTGTGTATCAGTTCATAAACCATGTGCCATGGAATCGGTACATTGAAAATCTCTTCCCAACTATTTGGCAATCTATATGGCACAGCTGTCAATGTTTTAGTCTTTAAATGAAACTGGTATACTTTTTTATTTATCACAATTTTGTTTAGCCAATTTTGGTCTTTAATGCCGACAGACAAGTTCCTTACCTTCTCCCCCTTCCACTTGCCTCTTCCATTTTTGCGGTAATGCTGGATAGAGCAGACATTTCCATATATTTTTGTTAGTTGCATGTGTGACATAACTCCACCAGTCCTATTTATGATATAATTTACAAAGATTATATATATATTTTTTAACCAATTAGTATATTTGAGTTTAACCATAATATTTGTTGTAATATTTGTTCTGTCTTTTCTGGTGGATTAAACTGAAAATGCAACCAACTTGCTATGGCTTGTTTTAAAAATAGCAATATTCTGGAGATTATATAATTTTCAAATAACCAAAAGTGAGAGGTTGCGATCTGAATAAAGGGAAAAAGGCCATTCTTGAACATGGTGTGAGACATTCTTACTAATCTGCTAGAGAACCAGTTTGGATTTAAGTATAACTTTTGAAATGCTGAAGCCTTTAGCGAGAGGTCTAATGCTTTCATATTTAATAATTGCTGCCCTGCGAATTCATATTCATTATCTAAATAGGCCTGTTTAAATTTGTCTTGCTTGCCGTTCCAAATTAAATTGAATATTTTTGCTCCTATAATTTAAAAAACGCTGGGCGATAAGCAAATAGGTAAACAGGGATATGACTAAAGAGATCATCAGGGTGATTTCTCACCAATAGACAGGTATTTTCCTTTCCACGGTAGCAAGATCTTATGTATTTTTGTTATTTTTCTATAAAAAATGTATTGTAATGAGATCATTTCTTTCTTTCGGGATATGTATACAGAGTATTTCCACTTCACCATCAGACCGTTGTATTGGTAAACTACACAGTAATGTAAAAGTTGCATTTTTTTGTGATCCAATACGTAATATAGTACACTTATCATAATTTGGTTGTAATCCAGAGAGGTTAGAAAAAGTATCTAGATCATCTATGAGGCACCCATTGTGGATTTAAAAGAAAACATGAATAATCAGCGTACAATGACCCCTTAGTTTTTAAGCCTTGGATTTCTAGGCCCTTGATATTATTGTTGGATCTGATTTTAATAGCTAACATTTCGCTGTCCGTAGTAAATAGATATGCCGATAGTGGACAACCTTGTTTTACTCCTTTTGACAGTTTAAAACTTTCTGAGAAATAGACATCATTTACTATTTTACACCTAGGGTTAATATACATAACTTTAACCCATTGTATAAGAGATTCTTCAAAATTGAAATATTCCAGGCATTTATATATGAATTCCAGTCGTACTTCATCAAAAACCTTTTCAATGTCAGCTATGAATAGCAGGCCTGGTTTCCCAGATTTTTCATAGTGTTCTATTGTTTCCAATACTTGCCTTATATTATCTCCAATGTATCTTCCATGTAAAAAAACCTGTCTGATTAGAATGAATAATATCCGACAATACCTTTTTAATTCTAAGCACTATGCACTTTGCTAGAATTTTTGCATCACAACACTGAAGTGTAAGGGGCCTCCAATTGTTTTAATGGACTGGATCTTTATATTTACCACTTGGGTCCTGTTTCATAATAATGAAATCAGACCTTCTTGTTGAGTATTTGATAATCTATCATTTTAATAGGAGTGGTTAAAACATGCTAATAACGATCCTCTGAGTACATCAAAAAAGGTTTGGTATACCTCAACTGGTGTGCCATCCAGCCATAGAGTTTTCCGCACTTAAAGGCTTTAATTGCATCAAGAGGTTCCTCCTCTGTAATTTGGCCTTCACATGAGTCTTTCTGTACAGCTGTTAATTTTACATTATTCATAGGAAAAAAATCCTTTCAATTAACTTTGGTTAGTGGAGATGGAGGAGACTGAAACGAAAATATATGCTTAAAGTACTTTGCTTCCTCTATCAAAATATAGTTTGGTGAATTATAGGCGATTCCGTCATTTGTAACAAGTTTCAGTAAATTATTTTTGGTAGCATTCCATGCAGTTTGCTTTATTTTTTATTATATATTACACTTGATCTTTCTTGAATAAGTTCCTCCATTTCTTGTTGTTTTTCCTCTAACGTATTCTGTGCCTCTATGGTACTGTTTTTATTGCTATCTATCTGTACTGTTAGTCCCTCTACTTCAATTCTTAATATGGATTATTTTGACTTAAATTGCTTTTGTTTTAGAGATGAGTACTGAATTGCATGGCCTCTAAAGGCACATTTTAAAAGTGTCCCATACAGTAAGGGGATCTGCTGTAACTATGTTATGTAGGAAAAAGTCAGTTATAAATTATTCTGTCCTGGTTAAAAACAAGTTATCATCCAATAGGCTTTGATTACATTTCCAATATCCTCGCCCACGTGGAACTTCTTTAAGAGTAATGTATATGCCTATTATATGATGGTCCGACCGCATTCTGTCCCATATCGTCACATGTTTTACTTTTGGTGCCAACGAGTATGACATAAGAAAGAAGTCAAGACGACTAGCTTGATTGAGTCTCCGCCATGTATATATCACTAGATCAGGATATTTAAGCCTCCATATATCCACTAGTTCTAATGTATCCATGACATTCACAATTTCCTTAAGAGCATGAGGGTGATAGTTTGTAGTGTGATTTCTTTTACGGGTCCATTGAGGTATTTCAAACCGTATTATAATCTCCCACCATAATAATAGAGTATTGTATTGCTTGCAGAGTTGATAATTTATTATAGATGTTTTCAAAGAAGCGTTGTCATCATTATTTGGTCCGTAAAGGTTAATGAGACAAATCTTTTTATGGTCCAATAACATATTTAAAATAATCCATCTACCTTGAGCAATCGGTTTGAAAAATGTGCACATTCGGATCAAAATGATTGTTAATTAATATCATCACCCATTTTGAGTTTCTTTGCCCATGGGATAGGTACCATAATGATTGAGTGTCCATATAGCTATATTTTGTATTTGCACTGCTACGGAGTAAACCTCCAATTGTTCTCCGCTATTCCACCCGCTAAAACCTCCCCCTATCCCTAGTTGGATTGTCGTCCCAGTGACTGGCAGACCACCCATGTCCACCCATGACCACCCATGTCCACCTGTATCCCAGGGCCTTTGAGAGATTGGGACCCAACCTTTAAAAAGAGCACACAGTGCCACCCACAGAACAGAAACAGATTAACTGCCAAAAGCATTTCCAACACACTCAATATATATATATATATATAAAATTGTGCATATCTTAATTTATTTCCACAATTAACTAATAATATGCGTAATAATGTTGGCAGTTCATACCAAGGATTGTTACCTATAACCAGGACTGGCATTACAACAATTACATTTTTGGCAAACAACAATTATTGTGATTCATCCTATACTGTCCCTAACATCATTACCCCATAGCAACAGAAGTGGGATACACACACACACACACACACACACACACACACACACACACACACAGACACACACACACACACACACACACACACACACAGACAGACAGACAGACAGACAGACAGACAGACAGACAGACACAGACACAGACACAGACACACACACACACACACACACACACACACACACACAGACACACACACACACTCCCCACCCTTACCTCACACACAACCACGAGCTCAGAGGTTCAACAGTTGTTCCATCCCCGAGCCCAACTCAAGAAAGGACTTGATGTGTGATTGCATATTCAGTTGTAGCTGTTTGAGAAGGCATGCCAAATTAAGCAAAAATGGAGAGATTTGATTAACCAATGTCAAGTCCTAGCTGATGGAGCTCAGATACACCCCCCTACCCTGAAACACACACACGCTGCTCCCCCGTTGTGACCATTTTTCCCAAGCATCTCTGTGCAGTCAGACCTTTTGATTATTTTGTGCCGCCAGGGCCACAATAATTTACCCCTCTCTGATTGTCCGAGTGTGACCCCCTCCCCATGGGTTACTGCTGCTAGTGTTGCCAGCACTGCCACTACCTGGGTGGGCGTACCCCACCGGAATCCCCACTGGCTAGGCACGAGGTCGTCAAGGTTCTCATTAGCAGCTTTGAGAAATTCCTTGTATATTATGCTCTCCCATCAGGGGGCTCTGGCTTTGTAGGACCAACCCTGCCAGGCAGGCTCAGACCCTTGAGGGGGCGGTGCTGCCCTAGTGGGTCTCTGACCGCATTTATCTTTCTGTCTTGGCTGCGTACAGGCTACTTATAGCAGGGCCATAAAACAGATGGGGACTTCTCCTTAGTGTGTGGGTCGCTCAGGTGGGTGTCTAGGATATAGGGTTGGGGATCGCTCCATCATGACAATAAATAAAGACAATAAATAAATAAACTATATTTATAATCTATTTTAAAATGTATATCCCATATCTGCACAACATTTAAAGCTTTCTCTGTCACAACTCCTGCTCGCAGACACACATGGGCTCATTTGTAACCATTTTTCCTTTTTCACCCACTTAACTCCAGACTTTTCCAAACACAAAAACACACAACCCACCTTCCATCACAATACACCCTCACATACCCACATACTGTATACACCCTCACATACCCACATACTGTATACACCCTCACATACCCACATACTGAATACACCCTCACATACCCACATACTGAATACACCCTCACATACCCACATACTGTATACACCCTCACATACCCACATACTGAATACACCCTCACATACCCACATACTGAATACACCCTCACATACCTACATACTGTATACACCCTCACATACCCACATACTGTATACACCCTCACATACCCACATACTGTATGCCTTTTAAACATTATTTTATCTTTAAAGAATGCAAATTTGGCAACGATTGGGCGCTCATATCGCTGTCCTGTCGGTTCCGAAACGGTGTACACGTTCGATTTTAGATTTTGTCGACAGTATCGCCTGGGATCTGTAACGCTTTAAGGAGGAATTCTTTCACCACGCTTTCAGCCTCTTCACCCTCATTTTCTTTTATACCAGTAAGCACCAGATTTTCTCACATAGATCTAGTATATATTCCAAGTAAGGCTTCTCTCAGAAACATGTTCTCCTTTTTAAGTTCATTAACGTCCGTTTCAATAGTATTGACCTTTTGACCTTTTAGCTTGTTTGTTTCTTTGTCACGGCTTTCTCGTCACTCATCTCGAGGCTGGCCTTCCTCCTTTATGTCTTTACCGACTGGTTCCAGTACGCCCAATTGATCATTTATTGATTTTAGCAGTTCGGTTTCCACTCTTACTGTACCAGGTGGTGAAAAGCATAAATCATCGGTGTCTGTCGAGGAATCTCGTAGTTTTCGCTTGGAGTTTGGTTCTCCATTTTTCCCCTGGTTCTTCTCCGACATGTTTTGACCTCGACTGCGTTCATAATATTTATCAATGAACTTCTCTAGCCTTATAAGTTAGTTAGGTAGTGACACTTCTTAAAAATACATGAAGATTTACCAACTTACTCACTAATTTTCTCTAAAATGTTTGCTGACAGACTCAACATGTGACCATAGTGGAGAGGGGTGGGGCTTAAGTCACATTCATTCTACAGTCTCATCACCTGGTGATATGTATAGGGGTGGGGCTTAAGTCACATTCATTCTACAGTCTCATCACCTGGTGATATGTATAGGGGTGGGGCTTAAGTCACATTCATTCTACAGTCTCATCACCTGGTGATATGTATAGGGGTGGGGCTTAAGTCACATTCATTCTACAGTCTTTAATGTGTGTGTTTCTGTAGTGACATCAAAAGGTGGGACAGCATTTTTTAGAGAAAGATGTTTTAAAATAAAAAATAAACTACTAATTAGATCCATTTCATTCAATGTAATAATAATAACTCAAGTTGTTCTATTGAAATAATAGAGAAAATAATAGTGTAGCTTGAAGTTTAGGACTCAGGGTTTGGGACAGCCACCTCTCAATGGAAATAGGTGAATAAACAATGACTTTGTACTATGTTCATTTAACAATATGTTTGTTATTGCATTGGATTGAATTAGAACATATCATGATGTAAATAAAAGTTATAAGTTTGGAGACTTAAATGTTTTTAAAAATACGTTTTTGGAGGGTGGGACTGCAATTTGCATCACTTCTGTAGAATCACCCATGTAGTACACTACTTTTGACCAGGTGCCAATAGGGAATAGGGTGTCATTTGGGAGAGAGAGAGAGAGAGAAAGAGAGAGAGAGAGAGAGAGAGAGAGAGAGAGAGAGAGAGGAGGAGAGAGGAGAGAGAGAGAGAATAGAGAGAGAGAGAAAGAGAGGGATAGATAGATCCTCGATATATCGTATACTCTCTATATCTCTTTGTATCTAGATAGATAGATCTTGAGAGAGCGATAATTGTGCTACAGTAAACATACTAGACAGGCCAGAGGGTCCCTGGTGTCCCTGGTGAAGCCTGTTTCTCTGGGGACTCTACTGACGAGCCTGGGGAGCATCTCAGAGCCCTGGAACACACAGAATAGAACTTGATTATTTTATTTTTTTATTATCTGCTTCCAAACCCACAGACAACACACAAAACACATACATTCATTCTCTAATAATACAAGAGATGGTTTGAGAGACGGACATATATTCTAATCTACAGTAACATATCGGCAGATAGAGAAGAGGACAGATGAAAACATGTTAGAGCCCACCTGAAGAAAGGATATAGGCAGGAAGTCATCTCTCATCACAGAGTTCTCAGTCCTCCTAGGATCGCCCTGATAATAACACACACCCACACCCACACCCACACCCACACACACACACACACACACACACACACACACACACACACACACACACACACACACACACCCCCCACACCCCCACACACACACACACACACACACACACACACACACACACACACACACACACACACACACACACATTTTAATAACAGGCAAACAGGAACAAAGACACAATGAAGATGAAAAATGTGGTTACATTCATATAATACTACTAATACTACACACAAGCCAAATGGAGGATGAACAACGTGCTACGTAAAGCTGTTTACTTCACTTTGGATGCATCCCAAAAGGCACCCTATATTTCTCTCTATAGTGCACTACTTTTGACCAAATCCCTAGGGGTCCTGGTCAAAAGTAGGGCACTAAATAGGGAACAGGGAGACATTATGTTTCCCCTTTAGTTGGATGCAGACTGCTTAGCCCTGGGGTTAAGTGACTGTTCACACTTTGCTTATTCTAAAGTGGGATAACATCAACTTTAGCTCAGACTTTTCAGGGTTTGCTAATCACAGAATTACACTGTCACTTAATTTGAATATTCTACTCCATTCCTGTTTCCGTTGGTTAACAGATTAACAATTTCTTACACACAGCAATATCGTCAGTGTTCATTTCTGTCACGCCCTAGGACTCGTATTTGTTGAGTCAGGGTGTGTATTTTCTGTGTCGTGTTGTCCTATGTTTATTGTCTATGGTTAGATCTAGTATGTATAGATCTATGTTGGCCAGGGTGGTTCCCAATCAGAGGCAGCTGTTGCTCGTTGTCTCTGATTGGGAACCATACTTAGGCAGCCTTTTGGCACCTGTTAGTTGTGGGATCTGGTTCCTTATAGGTTTGTTGTGTGTAACCTTAAGACGTCACGTATCGTTTGTTTGTTGTTTTGTCGTGTTTGCACAGTTATAATAAACATGTACGCTTATCATGCGCCTTGGTTCGACCAATCTTTAAACGATCGTGACAGTATCCTGGTGTAAGCAGTTTTGGTGTTAATGTGGTGTTACTATGAATGGACTGAACGCCAGCTGGTGTTGCTTTTTTAAGCTGTTGTTAAAAAAATACTGCTGTTCAATCAGGGTGTCAAATTGGACAGTGTTAGTAAGTGTTGATTTTTCAGTGTAACATTTCTCGTGTTAAGTCAGGTGTTACAGATTATCTCTGTAAGTGTTAATTTAACAATAATTTGTGTAAAAGAACCCCGGTGTTGGTGTTAATAACCAGTGTTAAACCAAAACCACGCCCATCATTATCATATTTCCCAGCATGCTCTATTGCAGTTAGATTTTTTTAGAATTGTTTGTTTCAATATCTATGTTTTTGCATTGATTGATTAATAATCTTATGTGTCACGGAATCAGCCGAGGCTGCTCCTCCTCCTTGCTCGGGCCCGGAGTACTAGCTACTGCCGATCTATGTTTCGGTGTTTGACTTGTTTTGTCTTGATTGTGTACACCTGTTTCCTATTATGTTGTAATGTATTCCCTATTTAACCCTCTGTGGTTCATTGTGTGTTGTGTGTGATTGTTCTCGTCATTTTCGGCAGTTGCTAGTGTGCGGGTATTCCCCTCCCTGTTTGGAGGTTGTTTTGTATTTCTGTTTACTTTGTTAGTAAAGTATCGTTTCCAGTAGCTCGGTGTCCTGCGTTTGACTTCGCCTACCGCATACACGTCGCATTCTGACATTATGCTACTCAAATATCAATAACATACATTTTTCTAAACTAATCCAATCTGTTATGGATTTATTGCACCCGTTACTGAGATGGCTGTTCCAGTTTAGATGGTTGGGGTAGTCTGAAATCTTAGTCTTCCCAACCCGGCTGTCATTCTGAATGCAGGTTACGGGTAAATGTTGGATATCAACCACTCTGGCCGGATTTCAATAGGAATTACACATCACTTTGCAAGCCAGCATAATGTGACTAGAAGGCCTGATTTTGCCTGTAAACCATGAGTTTCAGGCCACTGTATTAAGGTAAAACTAGCGCCTCAGAATAAGGCCTTGTGTATTGCATTGTGTTAAGTTATTTTATTTGAATGACATTCGCTTAGGATCTCACTTGGTGAAGGCCACAGGACTGAAAATGGATGAATGCAACAACCATACATTGGACATAATATAAGACATGTACTGGAAACAATAGAACACTGTGTAAAATCTGGGAAACCAGCCCTGGTATTCATAGCTGGCTTTGAAAAGGCCTTTGATAAAGTACAACTGGAATTTATATAGAAATGCCTGGACAATTACAATTTTTGAGAATCTCTTATAAAATGGGTTAAAATCAAAATCAAGTTTTCATCCCCCTTGGCGTTTTTCCTATATTGTTGTATTACAACCTGTAATTTACATTTATTTTTCTTCGGATTTCATGTTATGGACAAACACAAAATAGTCCAAATTGGTGAAGTGAAATGAAAAAAATAACTTATTTCAAAAAATTCGAAAAAATTAATAACGGAAAAGTGAGCCAGTGTATAGTAACTCCAGGTGTAAAATAGTAAATAATGGTTACTTCTCAGAAAGTATTAAACTGTCAAGAGGAGTAAAACAAGGTTGTCCACTATCGGCATATCTATTTATTATGGCCATCGAAATGTTAGCTATTAAAATCAGACAATAATATCAAGGGATTAGAAATCCAGGGTTTAAAAACAAAGGTGTCATTGTACACTGACGATTCATGTTTTCTTTTAAATCTGCAATTTTGATCCCTGCACAGCGTCATAGAGGATCTAGATAATTTTCCTAACCTCTCTGGATAAAAAAAATGTTTTACATTACATTGTAGTTGACCAATAAAATGGTCTGATGGTGAAGTGGATATACTTGGTATACATATCCCGAAAGAAAGAAGGTCCATATAGGGAATATATGGACCCTGGTCAATAGTAAGGCACTATATAGGGAATATATGGGCCCTGGTCAATAGTAGTGCACTATATAGGGAATATATGGGCCCTGGTCAATAGTAGGGCACTATATAGGGAATATATGGGCCCTGGTCAATAGTAGGGCACTATATAGGGAATATATGGGCCCTGGTCAATAGTAGGGCACTATATAGGGAATATATGGACCCTGGTCAATAGTAAGGCACTATATAGGGAATATATGGGCCCTGGTCAATAGTAGGGCACTATATAGGGAATATATGGGCCCTGGTCAATAGTAGGGCACTATATAGGGAATATATGGGCCCTGGTCAATAGTAGTGCACTATATAGGAAATATATGGGCCCTGGTCAATAGTAAGGCACTATATAGGGAATAGGGTGCCATTAGGGACACAGCCTAAGAGATACGACACTAACCATTTGTCTGTATTGAAGCAAAAAGCTGTTGGGCTTTCTTTTACTGACATCACTAACCATGTGACCAGACCTGAGTTACTGACATCACTAACCATGTGACCAGACCTGGGTTACTGACATCACTAACCATGTGACCAGACCTGGGTTACTGACATCACTAACCATGTGACCAGACCTGGGTTACTGACATCACTAACCATGTGACCAGACCTGGGTTACTGACATCACTAACCATGCGACCAGACCTGGGTTACTGACATCACTAACCATGTGACCAGACCTGGGTGACTGACATCACTAACCATGTGACCAGACCTGGGTGACTGACATCACTAACCATGTAACCAGACCTGGGTTCAAATAATATCTGAATACTTTCAAATCCTTTGAGCGGTGGCTCTATCCTGTCTGGAGATGGAAGGGGGTGGCTCTATCCTGTCTGGAGATGGAAGGGGGTGGCTCTATCCTGCCTGGAGATGGAAGGGGTGGCTCTATCCTGTCTGGAGATGGAAGGGGGTGGCTCTATCCTGCCTGGAGATGGAAGGGGGTGGCTCTATCCTGCCTGGAGATGGAAGGGGGTGGCTCTATCCTGCCTGGAGATGGAAGGGGGTGGCTCTATCCTGCCTGGAGTTGGAAGGGGTTTGCAGTTTTTTAGGCGTTTGTATTGTTTACGTTGTGCCAGGCAATCTCAATCAAGCCAAGGTAGAGTATGTCAAATAGTATTTGAACCCAGGTCTGCTCATCACTAGCATGTGGCAATATTGTATATTTAGAGGGAGCAACACTAACCATGTGGTACTGGGGCAGAAAGGTGTTGGGTTGCAGGGCCATCCCCTCAGGGAAACCGCTCTCTCCTTGGGCTCCCACTAACTGGTGCTTCTGTGAAACTAAAGGACAATCGTGTGTCATTTATGCGTTGCTCTCTAAACAGCCATTTCCCTGCAGTGGGCAGAGCTGGTTGAAATTACGTCATTGCAACCAGTTTTCACACAACAAACCGAGCCGTGCCAAATTGTGTTCTCCTGGTTATACATTCCCCCCGCAGCACAGAGCCAGCACATTACAGTTCTGGTCAGTTCTGGTCAGTTCTGGTCAGTTCTGGTCTGTTCTGGTCAGTTCTGGTCTGTTCTGGTCTGTTCTGGTCAGTTCTGGTCAGTTCTGGTCTGTTCTGGTCTGTTCTGGTCAGTTCTGGTCAGTTCTGGTCTGTTCTGGTCTGTTCTGGTCAGTTCTGGTCAGTTCTGGTCAGTTCTGGTCTGTCCTATATCATTCAGCTCCTCAGTCTATTGCACAGTACCTGGTGGTCTGGGACGATGGGGAACAAAGTGTTCCTCATACTCTGTCTGGAAAGATACATTCTAGGGGAGAGAGAGGGAGGGAGGGAAGAAGAGAGAGAGACAGAAAGACACTTACAATCAGTACATTCTCCCCCTCCTCCCTCTCTCCTCCCTCCCTCCCTCCCTCCCTCTCTCTCTCCTCCCTCCCTCCTCCCTCCCTCTCTCCTCCCTCCCTCCCTCCCTCCCTCCCTCTCTCCCCCCTCCCCCCCCTCCCTCTCTCCTCCCTCCCTCCTCCCTCCCTCCCTCTCTCCTCCCTCCTCCCTCCTCCCTCCCTCCCTCTCTCCTCCCTCCCTCTCTCCTCCCCCTTCCCCCTACCTCCCTCCCTCCCTCCCTCTCTCCTCCCTTCTCCCTCTCTCCTCCCTCCTCCCTCTCTCCTCACTGCTGTAGGCCGTATGTTGAGCTGTAGGTATCCACTCTCTCTGATCTGTCCACTGGGGCAGGGCAGGGTCTCTGACCCATCAGGTCTGGTCAGAGGCTGGAAGTGGCGCTTAGTCTGAGACTGGAAACTATCCAGCAGAGAACGCCTGGAGAAGACCGAAACACACGCTCCATGTCACTGTTATATACCTCTGTATATGTGATCCCTGCAGGAATTGAACCTATGACCTTGGCGTTGCTATCGCCAAGCTCCTGACAACTGAGCCATCCAGGACCACGTAATTTCATACGCTTCTGTGCTAGTGAGTATAGGTATCATTACCAGGAAACACCTCCGGGGGGCATATCTGAAATGGCATCCTATTTAAATAATGCACTACTTTTGGCCAGAGCCCTGCGATAGACTAGCGTCCTGTCCAGGGGGTCGTCCTGCGATAGACTAGCGTCCTGTCCAGTGGGTCGTTCTGGCTCAGACAAGGCTACTAGTGGACCGTATAGGGAAGATGGTACAGTTTCAGTCTTCTTACCCTAGCTGTGGGTTGTCAGTGTGGTCCAGACTAGGACTGAAATATAATATAGTATAGTATAATATAGTATAGTATAGAATAATATAGTATAGTATAATATAGTATAGTATAGTATAGTATAATATAGTATAGTATAATATAATATTGTATATTATATTATAGTATAGTATAGTATAATATAGTATACTATAATATAGTATACTATAGTATAGTATAATATAGTTATTATAGTATAGTATTTGTAGATAGTTATTGTATAGTATAGTATAGTATAGTATAGTATAGTATAGTCTCGTATAGTTCTATCGTATAGTATTTATATCTGTATATTAGTCTATCATTCTCGTTTATCTCTTAGTCTATATCTCGTCTACCCTGTGGGTTGTCGTTCTCCGTCTGTCTCCTTAGTGTCGTTAGTCTAGTATAGTCTGTATAGTCTTATCTGAGCCTATGTAGTCTGTCGTTATTAGTCTATCCGTCTAGTTCGTCTCGTCTCGTTTTCGCCTCCCTATCCTTCGTCGTCTTACCTATCGTTCTCCCCTCTGTCGTCTCCTTCGTTCCCTAGTCTATCTAGTTAGTATCATTATAGTATAGTATGTATCTTATAGTTAGTAATACTGTCTCAGTCTATACGTCAGTTTCACCTAGCTTAGTATAGTCTTGTTCAGTATGTGTCCTCTTGTCATATATCTCGTATCTCTAGTTAGTATACGTCTCGTAGTATAGTATAATATAGTATATTAGTCTAGTCATAGTACATCGTCTCGTATATCCCTATCTGTGGGTTGTCAGTGTGGTCCCGGCTGGCGGCTGTAGTATATATAGTATAGTAATATAGTTATATAGTATAGTATCGTATAGTATAGTATAGTATGTAGTATATAGTAGTACGTCTTACCCTACTTGGTTGTCATGTGTGGTCTCACTGTTGTGTATAGTATGTTCGTCTCGTATCCTTCGTCTCATAGTATGTCTGTATCTATAGTCTAGTATCTAGTATCGTTCTATATCGTCATAGTCTTACCCTAGCTGTGGGTTGTCAGTGTGGTCCAGCTGGGCTTGTACTAGTTATGTCTATACGTATCAGTATAGTATAGTATAGTTAGTATAGTAGTATAGTATCAGTTTACCCTAGCTGTGGGTTGTCAGTGTGGTCCAGGCTGGGGCTGTAGTATAGTATAGTATAGTATAGTATAGTATAGTATAGTATAGTATAGTATAGTATAGTATAGTATAATATAGTATAGTCTTACCCTAGCTGTGGGTTGTCAGTGTGGTCCAGACTGGGGCTGTAGTATAGTATAGTATAGTATAGTATAGTATAGTATAGTATAGTATAGTATAGTATAGTATATAATATAGTATAGTCTTACCCTAGCTGTGGGTTGTCAGTGTGGTCCAGGCTGGGGCTTAGTTAGTATAGTTAGTATAGTATAAGTATAGTATATAGTATAGTTAAGTTACCCTAGCTGTGCGTTTCAGTCGTGTCCGTCTGTGCTATAGTATAGTATAGTTATTAGTATGATATAGTCTACGTATAGTTCGTATCAGTTGTCATCTGTACTCTATACGATCGTATAGTATAGTATAGTTAGTATAGTATCGTATAGTACTATCTAGTACATGTCTAGTTCCCTACGTGGTTCAGTTTCTCCTCTCTCATCAGTCTCGTATAGTATATATCGTATCGTCTCTCTGTCTCAGTATAGTCTCGTCCTCTCTCTAGTCTACTATCCGTCATCTCTATCTCAGTTAGTCTCTACTCCTACTGTGTCCTTGTCTGTCTCCAGTGGCTTCTCTAGTCTAGTTATATAGTATAGTTATCATATATATACTATTAATAATTAGTCTACCCTAGCTGTGGGTTGTCAGTGTGGTCCAGGCTGGGGCTTAGTCTATAGTATGTCTCATATATATACTGTAATCAGTATAGTATAGTATAGTCGTCTCGTCTCGTCTCTCTCGTCTCGTCTCGTCTCGCTCTCCTCTCCTCTCCTCTCTCTTACGTCATCTCCTCTCCTCTTCTCCTATACGTCTACTGTTCCCTGTCTCTCTCGTCTTCGTCTTCCCTAGCTGTGGGTTGTCAGTGTGGTCCAGGCTGGGGCTGTAGTTAACAGCAGGTCTCAGGTTGGCAGAGTACCCTGTCCCGTAATGATGGCCTAGACATGGACTGAAGCCTTCCTTGCCTGGATAAGAAATGACAGTAAGTTGGGAAGGGTTGGGGTGCTTCCCAATAATATCTCCATTCTCCTGAAGTTTGCACTCATGAGAGTAAGAAACGGCTCGAGTTTCCACCATATTTGTTTATGGGAAAAACGTATACCGGTCATTTCCTTTGAAATCAGCGAAGGGAAGTGAACAAGTACACATTTTAGTGAGGTAATTGGGACCAGTGTGTGGTCATGCAAGTGAGTCATTATGGAATCTGACTTATTTTTTTTTTTTTATCAATGAAAAAAAAAATCACGCAGGCGTATCATTGAGGGTGAAAGTAGAGTTTACTTGCGAATGCAGCACACTTTAGGTCAATGTAGTGCATACTATCTTACCATCAGTAGAATAAAATAAAATATAATTCAATTCAAGACAACAGAGAGTTTACATCAAGTCATTTCAATGTCATATCAGATAACTTGTTCTCACCATATGAGGACCTGTAAGAGGTGTTGCCCAGGCGGCCTCCTGGGCTTCCGGTTCCTCCTGGAGTGACCACGTCTCCCTGACTACCCATCTGTGAAGGACCAGGATAGTTACTACAGTAACAGGAAAAACCCTTGTAGGGCTGAGCTGTAACTGGGAGAGAGGACTGATTTGAGTTAGTGTTGAATGTTGATAGTCAAACTGGTTTTCGTTTAGTTTTTACACTCTTGGAAAATGTATAGCTTTTCTCACAATATCTTACCATCATTCAAATGTGATCATGTTGAATGTTGATGTCATAATGTAAATCGTGCATTTTCATCAAAGAATGAAGAGTTATGGAAAGTTATCATAGCAGAACATGTAGGAATAATACGCTAAATGCCCTTATTATAGGCCTAGCCTACAGATTCATTAATTTGTGATGACCTGTAAATCTAAAACTCCACTGAGAACTAGTAGGACTAGTCGACATTAATTTCAATCAAATATCTGCATCACTATGATAAAAGCGACCCCCTCATGCGCTCTGCCGTTACCTGTCTCTCAAGGCGGTGTGTCTGCTTAACGGCGGCCTCGCGCTGTGGCTGCTTTTATAACGCGGGACCCGTGCCGTCTCCACGATACCGACCGTTGCTACGGTGATTCTCCACGTGGCGCAAGCAGCACTTCACAATGTGGGCCGAATGAGGTCACAATAGAAGTCGTAGAGGGAAACGAACGGTTGCTCGGTACAAGGAGCTTGCAGTTGCACCTTAAGCTCTCTTAGCCTGGTACCAGATCTGTTTGTGCTCTTGCCAACTCCATTTGCTATTGTCATTGTCAAGTCATGTTTGGCATGACAATTAGTGACAAGGAGTTGCACGAACAGACTGACACTAAGGCTAAAGCTGGCAAGGGTAAAATGACATTATTTTTGTATTATTTATATGACTGAGGTATCCAGTCGATCAAAGGACATTTAATTTATGAATGATAAATTAATCACGATTAGAATCATGTACACCTCCAAGGTTAAGCCTAGGCTACTAATAGCTGATGTTATTGTCAGGGCCTGTAGCTACATATGAGGACACCAAGGTCCAGACCTCGGTAATATACAAAATATATATAAAATATTGGTCATTTAGCAGACGCTCTTATCCAGAGCGACTTACAGGAGCAATTAGGGGTAAGTGCCTTGCTCAAGGGCACATCGACAGATTTTTCACCTAGTCGGCTCTGGGATTAGAACCAGCGACCTTTCGGTTACTGGCACAACGCATAAAGGGGCGGCAGGTAGCTTAGTGGTTAAGAGCGTTGTGCCAGTAACGGAAAGGTCGCTGTTTCTAATCCCAGATTTTAGATTCTTCAATGTAGCCACCCTTTGCCTTGATGACAGCTTGCACACTCTTGAGATTTTGTTAGTCACTCACTCAGATAGTCATATATCAGAATTGCAGGAAATTAGCTGTAAAACTGCAGGAACAAAAAAGTTCTGTAAAACAAACATATTTATTTACGTTTTGTTAATAAAATAGTTTTTCTGCTAACAGATCCGTCTGTACTTATTAAATTACCGTTTTTAATCGCGGTGCTGAGTTAACGTGATTATGAATGCAACCAGTGTGATAAAAGCTTTAGGTTACTGTATGGTAAAAATGTATATACTTTTAGATCAGATTTCTCCCTTACTTGCGTCACCTCTCGTCTCTGCACACTTTTTACACCCTTGAAAAAGACCTAGTGGAAACGTTGGGTGTTTATGTGCTGGGCCTGTCTTAAATACATTAAAATACTAAGCATATAACTTTGATATCCTGGGTGTGCTTTTCCCTGTGGATATATTTGTACACCCACTTTATGACATCAATATTGTAGTCAATGATGGTGCACATGATTAGGCAACACCCAAACAGCACCTGTGCCAAGAGACCGTTGTTACATGTTATAGCCACTGGATGGAGGTGTTGCGACACAGTTCAGTTAAGCAGACCTAAACAACACCAGTCCTTTTTTTATTTTTATTTTATTTCACCTTTATTTAACCAGGTAAGCCAGTTGAGAACAAGTCATTTACAACTGCGACCTGGCCAAGATAAAGCAAAGCAGTGCGATAAAAACAACAACACAGAGTTACATATGGGGTAAACAAAACATACAGTCAATAACACAATAGAAAATCTATATACAGTGTGTGCAAATGTAGTAAGTTGTGGAGGTAAGGCAATAAATAGGCCATAGTGCAAAATAGTTACAATTTAGTATTAACACTGGAATGATAGATGTGTAGAAGATGATGTGCAAATAGAGATACTGGGGTGCAAATGAGCAAAATAAATAACAATATGGGGATGAGGTAGCTGGGTGGGCTAATTACAGATGGGCTGTGTACAGGTGCAGTGATCGGTAAGGTGCTCTGACAACTGATGCTTAAAGTTAGTGAGGGAGATAAGAGTCTCCAGCTTCAGAGATTTTTGCAGTTCGTTCCAGTCATTGGCAGCAGAGAACTGGAAGGAATGGCGGCCAAAGGAGGTGTTGGCTTTGGGGATGACCAGTGAGAATTACCTGCTGGAGCGCAGACTACGGGTGGGTGTTGCTATGGTGACCAATGAGCTAAGATAAGGCGGGGATTTGCCTAGCAGTGATTTATAGATGACCTGGAGCCAGTGGGTTTGGCGACAAATATGTAGTGAGGGCCAGCCAACGAGAGCGTACTGGTCACAATGGTGGGTAGTATATGGGGCTTTGGTGACAAAACGGATGGCACTGTGATAGACTACATCCAATTTGCTGAGTAGAGTGTTGGAGGCTATTTTGTAAATGACATCGCCAAAGTCAAGGATCGGTAGGATAGTCAGTTTTACGAGGGCATGTTTGGCAGCATGAGTGAAGGAGGCTTTGTTGCGAAATAGGAAGCCGATTCTAGATTTAACTTTGGATTAGAGTTGCTTAATGTGAGTCTGGAAGGAGAGTTTACGGTCAAACCAGACACCTAGGTTGTCACGATCGTTTAAAGATTCATGGAACCAAGGCGCAGCGTGATAAGCGTACATTTTATTAAACGATTAGACACACGACAAAACAACAAACAAACGATACGTGAAGTCTTAAGGTACACACAACAAACCTATACGGAACAAGATCCCACAACTAACAGGTGCCAACAGGCTGCCTAAGTATGGTCCCCAATCAGAGACAACGAGCTACAGCTGCCTCTGATTGGGAACCACCCTGGCCAACATAGATATAAACGATCTAGAACTAAACATAAAAAAACACAACACAGAAAATACACACCCTGACTCAACAAATCAACGTCTCCTGAGTCAGGGCGTGACATAGGTATTTGTAGTTGTCCACATATTCTAAGTCAGAACCGCCGAGAGTAGTGATTCTAGTCGGGCGGGCGGGTGCAAGCAGCGTTCGATTGAAGAGCATGCATTTAGTTTTACTAGCGTTTAAGAGCAGTTGGAGGCTACGAAGGAGTGTTGAATGGCATTGAAGCTCGTTTGGAGGTTTGTTAACACAGTGTCCAATGAAGGGCCAGATGTATACAAAATGGTGTCGTCTGCATAGAGGTGGATCTGAGAGTCACCAGCAGCAAGAGCGACATCATTGATATACACAGAGAATAGAGTCGGCCCGAGAATTGAACCCTGTGGCACCCTCATAGAGACTACCATAGGTCCAGACAACAGGCCCTCCGATTTGACACATTGAACTCTATCTGAGAAGTAGTTGGTGAACCAGGCAAGGCAGTCATTTGAGAAACCAAGGCTATTTAGTCTGCCAATAGAATGCGGTGGGTTGACAGAGTCGAAAACCTTGGCCAGGTCGATGAAGACGGCTGCACAGTACTGTCCTATTATCGATCGCGGTTATAATATCGTTTAGGACCTTGAGCGTGGCTGAGGTGCACCCATGACGGATCGATAACCCATGTTCGGAACCAGATTGCATAGCGGGAGAAGGTACGGTGGGGATTCGAAATGGTCGGTGATCTGTTTATTAACTTGGCTTTCAAATACTTTCAAAAGGCAGGGCAGGATGGATATAGGTCTGTAACAGTTTGGATCTAGAGTGTCACCCCCTTTTGAAGAGGGGGATGACCGCGGCAGCTTTCCAATCTCTGGGGATCTCAGACGATACGAAAGAGAGGTTGAACAGGCTAGTAATAGGGGTTGCTACAATTTCGGCGCTAATTTTAGAAAGAAAGGGTCCAGATTGTCTAGCCCAGCTGATTTGTAGGGGTCCAGATTTTGCAGCTCTTTCAGAACATCAGCTGTCTGAATTTGTGTGAAGGAGAAGCGGGGGGGGGGCATGGGCAAGTTGCAGCGGAGGGTGCAGATTTGGGTGGCCGGGGTAGTGGTAGCCAGGTGGAAAGCATGGCCAGCCGTAGCAAAATGGCTTGTTGAAATTCTCGATTATTGTAGATTTATCGGTGGTGATAGTGTTTCCTTTCCTAGCCTCAGTGCAGTGGGCAGCTGGGGAGGAGGTGCTCTTATTCTCCATGGACTTTTACAGTGTCCCCAAACTTTTTGGAGTTAGTGCTACAGGATCCAAATCTCTGTTTTGAAAAAGCTAGCCTTTGCTTTCCTAACTGAATTGTGTATATTGGTTCCTGACTTCCCTGAAAAGTTGCATATCGCGGGGGCTGTTCGATGCTAATGCAGTACGCCACAGGATGTTTTTTGTGCTGGTCAAGGGCAGTCAAGTCTGGGGTGAACCAGGGTCTATATCTGTTCTTGGTTCTGAATTTTTTGAATGGGGCATGTTTATTTAAGATGGAGAGGAAAGCACTTTTAAAGAACAACCAGGTATCCTCTACTGACGGAATGAGGTCAACATCCATCCAGGATACCCGAGCCAGGTCAATTAGGAAGTGTAGCTTAGTGTAGCTTCTATTCCAGCAAGGTGAGGTGGTGGCTTTCTGTTCAGATAATTAGCTAGGTAATAAAATTCACTTCATCAACATTAAGTTGAGGGTTGATTACTACTGTAATGCACTCAGAGTTTGTGTACACTGTCATTATGAACATAATTAACCACAACAATGTACAGTCCGACAGCTTGGCTAAGCTACAATTCATGTCGACATGTCCAGTCATACTAAATAAAGCACGGGTCATACATTGCGTGTAGCCCAGTTCAAACATTTAAAATGAAAGACTTGTTATGACTAATGGATTTAATTACATCTCCACTAGCATTAGACAGACAGTAACTGCAAGAGAGCAATAGAAGCGGGGGGGGGGGGGGGGGGGGGGGGGATATGGTTTGTTTATCTTGACTCATTTTGTGCTTGTTCAAAATAGTATCATTTTCCCCTCTTTTTCACTCTGTGTGGCACATTGAGGTTTGGTTGAGACTGATGAGAGGCGACAGCTTGGAGAGGAGAGGGGAGCAGAGGACAGGAGGCTCTGCAGAAGGGATACAGCGCCCCACGGTCATCTGAGACATGGCTCCAGGAGAGGAACACATTCCCTCCCTTTGCCTCGTTACTCATCCGCCCACCCACGAAGGGGAGCGAAGAGAGGGGGAGAGAGAAAAGGGGAAAGGGAAAGAGAGGAGGGCGAAGGAAAGACAAAAAGAGGAAGAAGAAAAGAAAGGGCAAAGAGAAAAAAGGGCAGATCAAAAAAATCAAAAAAGAAGAGAGAAGGGCATAAGAGAAAAGAAACAAAAAGGGGAAAAAAAGAAAAAAGAAACAAAAAAGACAAAAAAAAAAAAGAAAAATACAAAACAACAAAAAAAAAAAAAAAAAAAACAAAAAAAGAAAGGGCAGGGGGTTTTTTTAAAAAAATTAAAAGGGGGGGCCCCCCGGGGGCCCCCCCAAAAAAACAAAAAAGACAAAAAAAAAAAAAAAAAAAAAAAAAGAGAAAAATAAAAAAAAGGGAAAAACTCCTAAACCAATCCAGAAATTAAAAATGAGAGCCATGGTACCCTCAAAACCTGCCCGTAATGTTGTATCAGACATCCAGGTTTCATTTTTGGATCGGTTTTGAGATTCATAGCCCACCTCAGCTAGCCCCGGGAACCACCCTACCCCAGGGAAAACCCCCACTAGAAACCGGTCAAACCCCCCTACCACAGGGCAACCACCACTAAACCCGGTCAACCACCACTAGCCCAGACGGAAGGGTAAGGAAAAAAAAAAAACAGGAATAAAGTACAGGAACCAAAACCGGAAGGGTACAGAACACAAAAGGGAAAAGTCGGGAAAACAACAGGAAGGAGTCAGAACACAGACAGGAAATACGGAAAAAACGACAGGAAGATACAGGGAAAACAGACAGGAGGAGTACAGGGCACAGAAGGGAAGATACAGGGAAAACAGACAGGAAAGGGGTCAGGGAAAACCCGACAAAGGGGGTACGGAAAAACAACAGGAAGGGGTACAGGAAAACAAAAGGGAAAGACAAAGGAAAAACAGAAGAAGGAGTACGGAAAAACAGACAGGAAGAGTACAGACCAACAGAATATACGGGAACACAAAAAAGGAAGGAAAAACAGGAACAAAAAGAAAAAGGATACAGGACACAACGGGAAAGGGTCAAAAACCGAAAAAGGAAATTTCAGGAAACCGCAAAGGATCAGGAACACAGACGAAAGGGGTACGGGAAAACCCGACAAAAAGGGTACAGGAACCAGCAGGGAAGGGGTACAGGAACACAACAGGAAAGGGGTACAGGGAAAACATCCCGGAAGGAGTACAGAAAACAGACAGGAAGGAGTACAGGAACACACACAGGAAGGAGTACAGGAACACAGACAGGAAGGAGTACAGGAACACAGACAGGAAGGAGTACAGGAACACAGACAGGAAGGAGTACAGGAACACAGACACAGGAAGAGTAAAGGAACACAGACAAGAGTACAGGAGGAGTACAAGTACCTTGCAATAGACAGACCATGGCCAAATATACTGCACTATATAGGGAATAGGATACAATTTGGGATGCATCCACAGAATACAGATATATTGGAATACAAATACTATTCCTTTAAAAAAAAAGACTATTCTCATCACACAGACACCAGGCTGAACGTCTTCTGAAGACTATTCCCATCACACAGACACCAGGCTGAACGTCTTCTGAAGACTATTCCCATCACACAGACACCAGGCTGAACGTCTTCTGAAGACTTTTCCCATCACACAGACACCTGGCTGAACGTCTTCTGAAGACTATTCCCATCACACAGACACCTGGCTGAACGTCTTCTGAAGACTATTCCCATCACACAGACACCTGGCTGAACGTCTTCTGAAGACTATTCCCATCACACAGACACCTGGCTGAACGTCTTCTGAAGACTATTCCCATCACACAGACACCTGGCTGAACATCTTCTGATGTCACGACTTCGGCCGAGGCTGCCTCCTCTCCTTGTTCGGGCAGGCTTCGGCGTTCGTCGTCACAGGAGTACTAACCACTGCCGCCCCAATCATCATCACAATTGTCTTGTCAATCACACACACCTGGTTCTATTCCCCTAATTAGTCTGTGTATAAGTGTTCCCTCTGCCCCCTTGTCCTTGTGGGTGATTGTTAATTGTGAGAGTATGTAGCTCGGTGGAGCTACTCATAACATTGTGTTGCCAGGGTAGATTTTCCCCCTGGGCCTATGTTTATTGGATTCCGTTACAGTATAATTGCCAGGGATGTTTGTTTCCCCTGTGCCTGTTTCGTTGATCGCTATTGGAGCGCATGTGTGTGTCAACGAAGGAATAAACTCTGTATTCGGTGATTACCCTCCTGCGCCTGACTCCTTTCACCACGCTCACCACATCTGAAGACTTTTCCCATCACACAGAAACCAGGCTGAACGTCTTCTGAAGACTATTCCCATCACACAGACACCAGGCTGAACGTCTTCTGAAGACTATTCCCATCACACAGACATCAGGCTGCAAGGAGAACGTCTTCTGAAGCTTAGAGCATGAAATATAATCAAATGGAAATCATTGCAGGAAGACGCTTTGAGCAAATGACCTTCCAAATGACCTTCCAAATGACCTTCCAAATGACCTTCCAAATGACCTTCCAAATGACCTTCCAAATGACCTTCCAAGCTCTATTGACAACAAGATGCTGCCTGCTGGCAAACTGCTGTGTTGTCTGGTATAATATCCATAATTATTCCAAAGCATTTGCATCTACTAAACTGCACGACTCTCATCTTGTTGACATTTTAGCCTTGGTATAAGCTAAGGGAAGGATATTATTGAACAGAATTCAAATCAAATCACATTTTATTTGTTACATGCTGACTTACAGGCCCTTCCCAACAATGCAAAGAGAAAGAAATTAGAGAAGTAATAGAAATGTAATAACACATAATAATAAAAGTAATAATAAATACACAATGAGTAACGATAACCTGGCTATATACAGGGAGTACCAGTACAGAGTCTATGATAACTTGGCTATATACACGGGGCACCAGTACCGAGTCTATGATAACTTGGCTATCTACACGGGGTACCAGTACCGAGTCTATGATAACTTGGCTATATACACGGGGCACCAGTACCGAGTCTATGATAACTTGGCTATCTACACGGGGTACCAGTACCGAGTCTATGATCACTTGGCTATCTACACGGGGTACCAGTACTGAGTCCATGATAACTTGGCTATATACACGGGGTACCAGTACCGAGTCTATGATAACTTGGCTATCTACACGGGGTACCAGTACCGAGTCTATGATAACTTGGCTATATACACGGGGTACCAGTACCGAGTCTATGATAACTTGGCTATCTACACGGGGTACCAGTACCGAGTCCATGTGCGGGGGAACGAGGTCATTGAGGTAGATATGTACATATAACTAGGAATAAAGGGACAGATAATAAGCAGTAGCAGCAGGGTATGTGACGAGTCAAAACAGTTAGTGCAAAAAGGGTCATTGGAGGTCAATGCAGATGGTCCGGGTAGCTATTTGGTTAACTATTTAATTAACAATGAAGGCAGTCTTATGGCTTGGGGGTAGAATCTGTTCAGGGTCCTGTTGGTTACAGACTTGGTGCATCGGTACCACTTGCCGTGTGGCAGCAGAGAGAACAGTCTATGACTTGGGTGGCTGGAGCCTTTGACAATTTTTAGGGCCTTCTTATGACACCGCCTGGTATAGAGGTCCTGGATGGCAGGAAGCTTGGCCCCAGTGATGTTCTGGGCCGTACGCACTACCCTCTGTAGTGCCTTGCGGTCGGAGGCCGAGCAGTTGCCATACCAGGCGGTGATGCAACCAGTCAAGATGCTCTCAATGGTGCAGCTGTATAACTTTTTGAGGATCTGAGGGCCCATGCCAAATCCTTTCAGTCTCCTGAGGGGGAAGAGGCATTGTTGTGCCCTCTTCACAACTGTCTTGGTGTGTTTGGACCATGATAGATCCTTAGTGATGTGGACACCAAGGAACTTGAAGCTCTCGACCCACTCCACTACAGCCCTGTCGATGTGAATGGGGGCGTGCTCGGCCCTCGGTTTCCTGTAGTCCACGATCAGCTCCGTTGTCTTGCTGATGTTGAGGGAGAGGTTGTTGTCCTGGCACCACACTGCCAGGTCAAATCAAATCAAATTGTATTTGTCACATACACGTGTTTAGCAGATGTTATTGCGGGTGTAGCGAAATGCTTGTGCTTCTAGCTCCGACAGTGCAGTAATATCTAACAAGTAATATCTAACAATTTCACAACCCAATACACACAAATCTAGTAAGGAATGGAATTTAAGAATATATACATATATGGACAAGCAATGACAGATTTGCATGGACTAAGATACAGTAGAATATTATAGAATAGAATGCAGTATTCTTGAGCTGGAAGCGCAGCAGGTTGTTGGTTCCTATGGGTTGCAGCTCCAGCAGCTTACACAGAGCCACCAGCTGCATGTACGGTGGTCGGGAGAGGTTGTGTTTTCTCTAGCAGGAGGTAAGCTTGGCTTCTTATATGGTGTTGAGTAAAGCTTAAACCATGTATTTAGATTGTAGGTAGGTATTGTAGTTAGGTATTATAGGTAGTTTACTCAGGTAGTTATTGAAGGTTATTGTAGGTAATTATTGTAGGTAAGGACTGTATTCGGCGGACCCCGGCGAAGCACGAGGCTAGCTTACCCACTACTTGGACCAACAAAGCTAGCTAGCTAGCTAGCGGGTAGCTACTGGTAACTTTTAGCAACAGTGGTTAATTGTTTCCAATGTTATTTCACGCTTAAGAGTACCTGTGATTGAGCCAGCTAGCCGTCACCATTCAGCTGTTTTTCTAACCTCATTATCATTAACGTTAGGTGGTTGGTAGCTGCTGTACTTAATTACGGCTACTGATTGCAGTCTGCCAGTTTGGCTTTATACATAGCTTGGGCTTTGTCGAGTAAGGCTTAAACTATGTATTTAGATTGTAGTTAGGTATTATAGGTAGGCATCGTGGGCTGTATATTATTAAGTAGTATAGGTAGGCATCGTGGGCTGTTGTGGGTAGCTGTTGTGTAGTTATTGTAGGTTACTTTTGTATTCGGCGTGCCGGGTGTAGCACGAAGCTAGCTAGCTAACTCACCTCCTGGATTAGCTGGCGAGTAGCTATTAGCAACGGTAGCAACTAAAAACAATATCCTTTTAGCCAGCTACATTCGTTCGCAGCGACGCCGTTTTTCAAACAAAGTCAACACAGCAGCCATTGCTAGCCAGCCAACACTACCAGCTGGCTGTACTGTGGTAGCTAAATACAATATCTTTGTGCTAGCTACCCAACGTTTAATCATTGCTGCGTTATGAAAGGTAAGCTTGGCTTCTTATATGGTGTTGAGTTAAGCTTAAACCATGTATTTAGATTGTAGGTAGGTATTGTAGTTAGGTATTATAGGTAGTTTACTCAGGTAGTTATTGAAGGTTATTGTAGGTAATTATTGTAGGTAAGGACTGTATTCGGCGGACCCCGGCGAAGCACGAGGCTAGCTTACCCACTACTTGGACCAACAAAGCTAGCTAGCTAGCTAGCGGGTAGCTACTGGTAACTTTTTGCAACTGTGGTTAATTGTTTCCAATGTTATTTCATGCTTAAGAGTACCTGTGATTGAGCCAGCTAGCTGCTACCATTCAGCTGTTTTTCTAACCTCATCCGAGGCATTAACGTTAGGTGGTTGGTAGCTGCTGTACTTAATTACAGCTACTGATAACAGTCTGCTGTAGTTTACAACAATTCTAATTTCTAAAGTGGAAGTTGGGAGAGTTTTACTCGGGTGGTTCAGTGAAACAATTTTAGTTTCTGAGGTGGAAGTTGGGAGAGTTATATATATATATATTTTTTTTGGTGAGGGAGGCCTGCTCTCTCCTTTCCCAGATGTTTAGTTCATTTCATTCCGATCTCCTCTGCATTATTGTAGCCATCTGCTGCAGCCTGTCAACTATGCCTCTGCCTATCCCTGTTCTCTCCTCTCCGCACAGGCTACACAAACGCCTCACACCGCGTGGCTGCTGCCTCTCTAACCTGGTGGTCCCTGCACGCACCACACACCTGGAGTTCCAGGTCTCAGGCAGCCTCTGGAACTGCCGTTCTGCCGCCAACAAGGCTGACTTCATCCCAGCCTATGCTACCCTCCAGTCCCTCGACTTCCTGGCGCTGACGGAAACATGGATTACCACTGAAAACACTGCTACTCCTACTGCTCTCTCCTCGTCTGACCATGTGTTCTCGCATACCCCGAGAGCATCTGGTCAGAGGGGTGGTGGCACAGGAATCCTCATCTCTCCCAAGTGGTCATTCTCAATTTTCCCCTAACCCATCTGTCTATCTCCTCATTTGAATTCCACGCTGTCACAGTCACTAGCCCATTTAAGCTTAATATCCTTGTCATCTATCGCCCTCCAGGTTCCCTTGGAGAGTTCATCAATGAGCTTGACGCCTTGATAAGTTCCTTTCCTGAGGATGGCTCACCCTTCACAGTTTTGGGGGATTTCAACCTCCCTACGTCTACATTTGACTCATTTCTCTCTGCCTCCTTCTTTCCACTCCTCTCCTCTTTTGACCTCACCCTCTCACCATCCCCCCCCCACTCACAAGGCAGGCAATACGCTTGACTTCATCTTTACTAGATGTTGCTCTTCTACTAATCTCACTGCAACTCCCCTCCATGTCTCCGACCACTACTTTGTATCCTTTTCTCTCTCGCTCTCCTCCAACACTACTCACTCTGCCCCTACACAGATGGTAACGCGCCGCCGCAACCTTCGCTCTCTCTCTCCCACTACTCTCTCCTCTTCCATCCTATCATCTCTTCCCTCTGCTCAATCCTTCTCCCTCCAATCTCCTGATTCTGCCTCCTCAACCCTCCTCTCCTCCCTTTCTGCATCCTTTGACTCCCTGTGTCCCCTATCCTCCCGGCCGGCTCGGTCCTCCCCTCCAGCTCCGTGGCTTGATGACTCATTGCGAGCTCACAGAACAGAGCTCCGGGCAGCTGAGCGGAAATGGAAGAAAACTAAACTCCCTGCCGACCTGGCATCTTTTCACTCCCTCCTCTCTACATTTTCTTCATCTGTTTCTGCTGCTAAGGCCACTTTCTACCACTCTAAATTCCAAGCATCTGCCTCTAACCCTAGGAAGCTCTTTGCCACATTCTCCTCACTGCTGAATCCTCCCCCCCCCCCCCCCCCTCCTCCCTCTCTGTGGATGACTTTGTCAACCACTTTGAAAAGAAGGTTGACGACATCCGATCCTCGTTTGTTAAGTCCAATGACACTGCTGGTCCTGCTCACACTGCCCTACCCTATGCTTTGACTTCTTTCTCCCTTCTCTCTCCAGATAAAATCTTGCGACTAGTGACTGCAGGCCGCCCAACAACCTGCCCGCTTGACCCCATCCCCTCCTCTCTTCTCCAGACCATCTCCGGTGACCTTCTCCCCTACCTCACCTCGCTGATCAACTCATCCTTGACCGCTGGCCATGTCCCTTCCGTCTTCAAGAGAGCGAGAGTTGCACCCCTTCTCAAAAAACCAACACTCGATCCCACTGATGTCAACAACTACAGACCAGTATCCCTTCTTTCTTTTCTTTCCAAAACTATTGAGCGTGCCGTCTTTAGCCAACTCTCTTGCTATCTCTCTCAGAATGACCTTCTTGATCCAAACCAGTCAGGTTTCAGGACTGGTCATTCAACTGAGACTGCTCTTCTCTGTGTCACGGAGGCTCTCCGCACTGCTAAAGTTAACTCTCTCTCCTCTGCTCTTGTCCTTCTAGACCTGTCTGCTGCCTTTGATACAGTGAACCATCAGATCCTCCTCTCCACCCTCTCCGAGCTGGGCATCTCCGGCGCGGCTCACTCCTGGATTGCGTCCTACCTGACCGGTCGCTCCTACCAAGTGGCGTGGCGAGAAGCTGTCTCCGCACCACGTGCTCTCACCACTGGTGTCCCCCAGGGCTCAGTTCTAGGCCCTCTCCTTTTCTCCCTATACACCAAGTCACTTGGCTCTGTCATATCCTCACATGGCCTCTCCTATCATTGCTACGCTGACGATACACAACTAATCTTCTCCTTTCCCCCTTCTGATAACCAGGTGGCGAATCGCATCTCTGCATGTCTGGCCGACATATCAGTATGGATGACGGATCACCACCTCAAGCTGAACCCTGGCAAGACGGAGCTGCTCTTCCTCCCGGGGAAGGACTGCCCGTTCCATGATCTCGCCATCACAGTTGACAACTCCGTTGTGTCCTCCTCCCAGAGTGCGAAGAGCCTTGGCGTGACCCTGGACAACACCCTGTCGTTCTCCGCTAACATCAAGGCGGTGACCCGATCCTGCAGGTTCATGCTCTACAACATTCGGAGAGTACGACCCTGCCTTACACAGGAAGCGGCACAGGTCCTAATCCAGGCACTTGTCATCTCCCGTCTGGATTACTGCAACTCGCTGTTGGCTGGGCTCCCTGCCTGTGCCATTAAACCCCAACAACTCATCCAGAATGCCGCAGCCCGTCTGGTGTTCAACCTTCCCAAGTTCTCTCACGTCACCCCCCTCCTCCGCACACTCCACTGGCTTCCAGTTGAAGCTCGCATCCGTTACAAGACCATGGTGCTTGCCTATGGAGCAGTGAGGGGAACGGCACCTCCGTACCTTCAGGCTCTGATCAGTCCCTACACCCAAACGAGGGCATTGCGTTCATCCACCTCTGGCCTGCTGGCTCCCCTTCCTCTGCGGAAGCATAGTTCCCGCTCAGCCCAGTCAAAACTGTTCGCTGCTCTGGCACCCCAATGGTGGAACAAGCTCCCTCACGACGCCAGGACAGCGGAGTCACTCACCACCTTCCGGAGACATTTGAAACCCCACCTCTTTAAGGAACACCTGGGATAGGATAAAGTAATCCTTCTACCCCTCCCCCCCCCAAAAATAAAAAATAAAAAATAAAAAAAGTATAATTGTAAAGTGGTTATCCCACTGGCTATAGGGTGAATGCACCAATTTGTAGTCGCTCTGGATAAGAGCGTCTGCTAAATGACGTAAATGTGCCCTTGAGCAAGGCACTTAACCCTAATTGCTCCTGTAAGTCGCTCTGGATAAGAGCGTCTGCTAAATGACTAAAATGTAAATGTAAATGCAGTATATACATATGAGATGAGTAGTGCAAGATATGGAAACATTATTAAAGTGACTAGTGTTCCATTTCTTAAAGTGGCCAGTGATTTCAATAGGCAGCAGCAGTCTCTAATGTGCTAGTGATGGCTATTTAACAGTCTGATGGCCTTGAGATAGAAGCTGTTTTTCAGTCTCTCGGTCCCAGCTTTGATGCACCTGTACTGACCTCGCCTTCTGGATGATAGCGGGGTGAACAGGCAGTGGCTCGGGTGGTTGATGTTCTTGATGATCTTTTTGGCCTTCCTGTGACATCGGGTGCTGTAGGTGTTTTGGAGGGCGGGTAGTTTGCCCCCGGTAATGCGTTGGGCAGACCGCACCACCCTCTGGAGAGCCCTGCGGTTGTGGGCGGTGCAGTTGCCGTACCAGGTGGTGATACAGCCCGACAGGATGCTCTCAAATGTGCATCTGTAAAAGTTTGTGAGGGTTTTAGTTGCCAAGCCAAAGTTCTTCAGCCTCCTGAGGTTGAAGAGGCTCTGTTGCGCCTTCTTCACCACACTGTCTGCGTGGGTGGACCATTTCAGTTTGTCAGTGACGTGTACGCCAAGGAACTTGAAGCTTTCCACCTTCTCCACTGCGGTCCCGTCGATGTGGATAGGGGGGTGCACCCTCTGCTGTTTCCTGAAGTCCACGATCATCTCCTTTGTTTTGTTGACATTGAGTGAGAGGTTATTTTCCTGGCACCACACTCCCAGAGCCCTCACCTCCTCCCTGTAGGTGGTCTCGTCATTATTGGTAATCAAGCCTACTACTGTTGTGTCGTCTGCAAACTTGATGATTGAGTTGGAGGCGTGCTTGGCCACGCAGTCATGGGTGAACAGGGAGTACAGGAGGGGGCTGAGCACGCACCCTTGTGGGGCCCCAGTGTTGAGGATCAGCGAAGTGGAGAAGTTGTTTCCTACCTTCACCACCTGGGGGCGGCCCGTCAGGAAGTCCAGGACCCAGTTGCACAGGGCGGGGTTCAGACCCAGGGCCTCGAGCTTAATGATGAGCTTGGAGGGTACTATGGTGTTGAATGCTGAGCTATAGTCAATGAACAGCATTCTTACATAGGTTTTCCTCTTGTCCAGATGGGATAGGGCAGTGTGCAGTGTGATGGCGATTGCATCATCTGTGGATCTATTGGGGCAGTAAGCAAATTGAAGTGGGTCTAGGGTGACAGGTAAGGTAGAGGTGATATGATCCTTGACTAGTCTCTCAAAGCACTTCATGATGACAGAGGTGAGTGCTACGGGGCGATAGTCATTTAGTTCAGTTACCTTTGCTTTCTTGGGTACAGGAACAATGGTGGCCATCTTGAAACATGTGGGAACAGCAGACTGGGAAAGGGAGAGATTGAAAATGTCCATGAACACACCAGCCAGCTGGTCTGCGCATGCTCTAAGGACTCGGCTAGGGATGCCGTCTGGGCTGGCAGCCTTGCGGGTGTTAACACGCTTAAATGTCTTAATCACATTGGCCATGGAGAAGGAGAGGCCACAGTCCTTGGTAGTGGGACTCATCGGTGGCACTGTGTTATCCTCAAAGCGGGTAAAGAAGGTGTTTAGCTTGTCTGGAAGCAAGACGTCGGTGTCGGCAACGTGGCTGGTTTTCCTTTTGTAGTCCGTGATTGTTTGTAGACCCTGCCACAGACGTCTCATGTCTGAGCCGTTGAATTGCAACTCCACTTTGTCTCTATACTGATGTTTTGCCAGTTTCATTGCCTTGCGGAGTGAGTAGCTACACTGTTTGTATTCTGCCATATTCCCAGTCACCTTGCCATGGTTTAATGCGGTGGTTCGCGCTTTCAGTTTTGCGTGAATGCTGCCATCTATCCACGGTTTCTGGTTAGGGTAGGTTTTAATAGTCACAGTGGGTACAACATCTCTTATACACTTCCTGATAAACTCAGTCACTGTTTCAGTGTATTTGTCTAAATTATTTTCGCAAGCTACCCGGAACATATCCCAGTCCACGTGATCAAAACAATCTTGAAGTGAGGATTCCGATTGGTCAGACCAGCGTTGAATAGTCTTTAGCACGGATACTTCCTGTTTGAGTTTCTGCCTATAGGAAGGGAGGAGCAAAATGGAGTTGTGGTCAGATTTCCCGAAAGGAGGGCGGGGGAGGGCCTTAGAACCATCCCGGAAGTTCGAATAGCAATGGTCGAGGATTTTAGCAGCGCAAGTACAACAGTCCATATGTTGATAGAACTTCGGCAGCCTAGTCCTCAAATTTGCTTTGTTAAAATCCCCAGCTACAATAAATGCAGCCTCAGGATATGTGGTTTCCAGTTTGCATAAAGTCCAGTGAAGTTCTTTGAGGGCCGTCGTAGTATCGGCTTGAGGCGGGATATAAACGGCCGTGGCTATAACCAAGGAAAATTATTTTGGGAGAAAATACGGTCGGCATTTGGTTGTGAGGTATTCTAGGTCGGGTGAACAAAAGGACTTGAGTTCCTGTATGTTACTACAATTACACCATGAGTCGTTAATCATGAAACACACACCTCCGCCCTTCTGCTTCCCGGAGAGATATTTATTCCTGTCTGTGCGATGAACTGAGAACCCATCTGGCTGGACCGATTTCGACAGAATATCCCCAGAGAGCCATGTTTCTGTGAAACAAAGTATGTTACAGGCCCTGATGTCTCTCTGGAAAGAAATCCTTGTCCGGAGTTCGTCGAGCTTGTTCACCAGAGACTGAACATTAGCGGTGGAAGCGGTGGGTGGTGTGCGTGCCTCCTAAGTCGAACCAGCAGGCTCCTCCGAGTGCCTCTCCTTCACCGGCGATGTTTTGGGTCAGCCGCTGGAATCAGTTCAGTTGCCCTGGGGAGAGCAAACAAAGGATCTGCTTCGGGAAAGTCGTATTCCTGGTCGTAATTCTGGTGAGTTACCCCCTCTCTGATATCCAATAGTTTTTCCCGGCTGTATGTAATGATACAAAACACTTTCTGAGCTAATAATGTAAAAAAAATAATACATTTAAAAAAAGAATACCGCAAAGTTTCCTAAGAGCTAGTCACGAGGCCGCCATCCTCGTCGGCGCCAGGTACATTTTCTCTGACCTCCTCCCTATAGGCTGTCTCATCTTTGTCAGTGATCAGGCCTACCACTGTTGTGTCGTTAGCAAACTTAATGACGATGTTGGAGTCATGCGCGGCCACACAGTCGTGGATGAACAGGGAGTACGGGGACTGAGCATGCACCCTTGAGGGGCCCCCGTGTTGAGGATCAGCGTGGCAGATGTGTTGTTACCTACCCTTACCACCTGGGGGCGGCCCGTCAGGAAGTCCAGGATCCAGTTGCAGAGGGAGGTGTTTAGTCCCAGGGTCCTTAGCTTAGTGATGAGCTTTGAGGGCACTATGGTGTTAAACGCTGAGCTGTAGTCAATGAACAGCATTCACCCGTAGGTGTTCCTTTTCTCCAAGTCGGAAAGGGCAGTGTAGAGTGGCATAGAAATTGCATCATCTGTGGATCTTTTGGGGCGGTATGTGAATTGGAGTGGGTCCAGGGTGTCTGGGATGATGGTGTCGATGTGGGCCTTTCAGCCTTTCAAAGCATTTCAAGGCTACAGATGTGATACAGGGTGATAGTCATTTACACAGGCTACCTTGGTGTTCTTGGGCACAGGGACTATGGTGGTCTGCTTGAAACATGTAGGTATTACAGCCTGGGTCAGGGAGAGTGAAGGCACTTGCCAGCATCCTGGTAATCCGTCTGGCCCTGCGGCCTTGTGAATGTAAAAAAAAAAAACTAAAGTTGATTGACGCACCGGTGCGTCAAAAGTGCATAGTTTATATTTATATTAATAAAATCTGAACGGTAAATGTTAAAAAAGTTTTTGTTTTTTAAATAAAAGCTGACATTCCACTGAATAACACTGTATATGGCATGTCTAAGTTCTGTGTACCACAGCCAACATAAGACGGCTATAGGTGTATTGGCGCCACCTACTGTACAGGGTATCGGAAAAAAAATACTCCATTACGGGAAGAGGACCCGACATAATACACAAATCAATCAAACAACCGTCCCACTCCTTCAGTCACATTCAAATCACATCCCTACACAAGCTCAGGGGCCTGTGAGGACGGAACATTCATCGACAGGATTCCTTGTAATGCCTCTGTAGAAAAATCCCTGAGTGCCAATAAACACTCAGCCGCACTCACAATGATACCTAACGCTCAGAGATGGTAACCTCTTCTTTACCAGGTGGATGGACACTACAGTACTACTGAGGTGGATCAGAGATGGTAACCTCTTCTTTACCAGGTGGATGGACACTACAGTACTACTGAGGTGGATCAGAGATGGTAACCTCTTCTTTACCAGGTGGATGGACACTACAGTACTACTGAGGTGGATCAGAGATGGTAACCTCCTCTTTACCAGGTGGATGGACACTACAGTACTACTGAGGTGGATCAGAGATGGTAACCTCTTCTTTACCAGGTGGATGGACACTACAGTACTACTGAGGTGGATCAGAGATGGTAACCTCTTCTTTACCAGGTGGATGGACACTACAGTTCTACTGAGGTGGATCAGAGATGGTAACCTCTTCTATACCAGGTGGATGGACACTACAGTTCTACTGAGGTGGATCAGAGATGGTAACCTCTTCTTTACCAGGTGGATGGACACTACAGTACTACTGAGGTGGATCAGAGATGGTAACCTCTTCTTTACCAGTTGGATGGACACTACAGTACTACTGAGGTGGATCAGAGATGGTAACCTCTTCTTTACCAGGTGGATGGACACTACAGTACTACTGAGGTGGATCAGAGATGGTAAACTCCTCTTTACCAGGTGGATGGACACTACAGTACTACTGAGGTGGATCAGAGATGGTAACCTCTTCTTTACCAGGTGGATGGACACTACAGTACTACTGAGGTGGATCAGAGATGGTAACCTCTTCTTTACCAGGTGGATGGACACTACAGTACTACTGAGGTGGATCAGAGATGGTAACCTCTTCTTTACCAGTTGGATGGACACTACAGTACTACTGAGGTGGATCAGAGATGGTAACCTCTTCTTTACCAGGTGGATGGACACTACAGTACTACTGAGGTGGATCAGAGATGGTAACCTCTTCTTTACCAGGTGGATGGACACTACAGTACTACTGAGGTGGATCAGAGATGGTAACCTCTTCTTTACCAGGTGGATGGACACTACAGTACTACTGAGGTGGATCAGAGATGGTAACCTCTTCTTTACCAGGTGGATGGGCACTACAGTACTACTGAGGTGGATCAGAGATGGTAACCTCCTCTTTACAAGGTGGATGGACACTACAGTACTACTGAGGTGGATCAGAGATGGTAACCTCTTCTTTACCAGGTGGATGGACACTACAGTACTACTGAGGTGGATCAGAGATGGTAACCTCTTCTTTACCAGGTGGATGGGCACTACAGTACTACTGAGGTGGATCAGAGATGGTAACCTCCTCTTTACCAGGTGGATGGACACTACAGTACTACTGAGGTGGATCAGAGATGGTAACCTCTTCTTTACCAGGTGGATGGACACTACAGTACTACTGAGGTGGATCAGAGATGGTAACCTCTTCTTTACCAGGTGGATGGACACTACAGTACTACTCTGTGCACCACAAGACTGAGAGATGGTACAGGACCCTGTTTTTACATTTCATTGACATTGCTGTGACCAACTGCTACATCATGTACATCAAACTCTGCCTATAGTCTTTCCCTAAGGTGGAAAACACATGAAGGCCAGTAGATGGGGACCTTGTCCCACTAATGAGCGTGGGGTCACTGGGGTGACCCTCTGTGACATTAGAAACGGCTTTCGGCTGTGGCATGTGAGGGACATACATGACCATTCTTTGTGATTTGGTCTTTTTGTTCTGTTGAAGACAGATGTGGATAGAATGTATATAGTTGTTTGTTTGATTTATATTTTTGTCCCCTACAACTGATAGCAGTACTCAAGACCTGGGGGAACGACAATCTGGTGTTGGATATCTTGCTCATTATGGTTTGCGGTGCTTTTCACAATAAAAAACTAAGAATGTCAACATGCGTTTTTTAGATTTTTTTTTTGCCTTTATGGCACATTATCACTCATAAATGTCTCAAAAGTTTGTTTTGACATTATATTTATTGTAGCTGACAGTGTGCTGAATTCATAGACCTAAAACACTTGATTGTGCCTATTACAGAAATGTAAAAGCCAAAATGACAAGGTAGTGAAAAATGCAAAGAATGTCTTAGACTTTAGAGGTTAACGTGTTTAAAGGTCTTACTCACATCGGCTACAGAGAGCGTGATCACACAGTCATCCGGAACAGCTGGTGCTCTCACGCATGGTTCAGTGTTGCCTCGAAGAGAGCATAGAAGGCATTTAGCTCTTGTGGTAGGCTTGCGTCACTGGGCAGCTGGCGGATGGGTTTCCCTTTGTAATCCCTGACAGTTTGCAAGCCCTGCCACATCCGACAAGCATCAGAACCGGTGTAGTTGTTAGGTCGACCACTTTCAAAACTACCAAATGCAGAACAACAGGATGATTTCTCGGGACATTCTATTCCACATTGGTTCAACGTAATTTCATTGAAATGACATGGGCGGAGCTATGTCTACATGCAAATTAAAAACACTCACAAAAGCTGACGAAGGCCTTGAGGCCAATACGTAAAGCTTCTTAAAGAGCAGTGATACTAGCAAGAGCAGTGATACTATCAAGAGCAGTGATACTATCAAGAGCAGTGATACTATCAAGAGCAGTGATACTATCAAGAGCAGTGATACTACCAAGAGCAGTGATACTATCAACAGCAGTGATACTATCAACAGCAGTGATACTACCAAGAGCAGTGATACTATCAACAGCAGTGATACTATCAAGAGCAGTGATACTATCTAGAGCAGTGATACTATCAAGAGCAGTGATACTACCAAGAGCAGTGATACTACCAAGAGCAGTGATACTATCAACAGCAGTGATACTATCAAGAGCAGTGATACTATCTAGAGCAGTGATACTACCAAGAGCAGTGATTCTACCAAGAGCAGTGATACTACCAAGAGCAGTGTGTGGGTTTCTTCTTCTTTTTTCTCCAAGTGAAATGACTTGGAAACAACGTTGATTCAACGAGTGTGTGCACAGTGGGAGTGTAGCCTACATTAATAAAAAAAGATTTGGCACCCCCCAATAGCCTAGTACTATTTGTTACAATGTAAATATTGTCATAATTTCTCAAATGTTGTACTGACAGATGGGCCTAGTGAATATTGTTATAGCATATGTATAAAATGTATCCTCCAATTACAACGTCTGCTTATGCCCAGACATATTGTCTCAAGAAAATATTATATTTTGAATACCCTCAAACACCAAGTTAGACATACCTAATTTTCAAAATAGGTCATCATCACTGTCAATCGTGAATGCTAATTATTCACGTTTTACTGAGAAACATCCAAAAAGCATCTGCATGCCAATCATTTGATCTCAATCAATTTCATGGGAATATGCATTTTTTATATTCTTAAATTTCATGAGCAAATTAGAGTAGATGGTGTTGCCAAACTACATAGCCTTCCCGTATTTTGTTTTAATCAAAGCATTTTGGGGCCGATTCCGACTTAGAAATGTACGCCTTTCCTATGTACAACTTCTGAGTGTTAGGTATTCAGACTTACCTTATTCAGCCGAGTAACATGCTCTGCCTACCTTGCGTGCTCTGAATAAATGTAATGCAACCGCTGCAAACCCTCCCACTTGCTGGCCAACAGATTTTCTCATGGGGTTTTCATTCAATAGGGTTTTCAGTACATTTATCTTAAAACCATTTAAATACGGTGTACCTTTTACTTCTCATTTGTGACAGCCTCGAGAGAACGGGTTCAGAATATTAGGGATCAATGAAAGAAAAAACTATCTACACTGACAGCCTATAGGGAGGAGGTCAGAGAAAATGTACCTGGCGCCGACGAGGATGGCGGCCTCGTGACTAGCTCTTAGGAAACTTTGCGGTATTCTTTTTTTAATGTATTCTTTTTTTACATTATTAGCTCAGAAAGTGTTTTGTATCATTACATACAGCCGGGAAAAACTATTGGATATCAGAGAGGGGGGTAACTCACCAGAATTACGACCAGGAATATGACTTTCCCGAAGCAGATCCTTTGTTTGCTCTCCCCAGGGCAACTGAACTGATTCCAGCGGCTGACCCAAAACATCGCCGGCGGAGGAGAGGCACTCGCTGCTAAAATCCTCGACAATTGCTATTCGAACTTCCGGGATGGTTATAAGGCCCTCCCCCGCCCTCCTTTCGGCAAATCTGACCACGACTCCATTTTGCTCATCCCTTCCTATAGGCAGAAACTCAAACAGGAGTATCCTTGCTAAAGACTATTCAATGCTGTTTACAATCGG